TCAGATAAGCGTATCAGCGCATCAGCGTATCAGCATATCAGCGCATCAGTGCATCAGCGATCAGCGATCAGCCTATCAGCGCATCAGATCAGCGTATCAGCGCATCAGCGCATCAGCGTATCAGCGTATCAGCGATCAGCGTATCAGCATATCAGCGATCAGATCAGCGATCAGATCAGCGTATCAGCGCATCAGCGTATCAGCGTATCAGCGTATCAGCATATCAGCGATCAGATCAGCGATCAGATCAGCGTATCAGCGCATCAGCGTATCAGCGTATCAGCGTATCAGCGCATCAGCGATCAGCGTATCAGCGATCATTCAGCGATCAGATCAGCGCATCAGCGTATCAGCGTATTAGCGTATCAGCGTATCAGTGAATCAGCGATCAGCGTATCAGCGATCAGATCAGCGATCAGATCAGCGTATCAGCGCATCAGCGTATCAGCGTATCAGCGCATCAGCGCATCAGCGTATAAGCGTATCAGCGTATCAGCGCATCAGCGCATCAGCGATCAGCGTATCAGCGATCAGCGGTCAGATCAGCGCATCAGCGCATCAGCGTATCAGCGTATCAGCGTATCAGCGCATCAGCGTATCAGCGTATCAACGCATCAGCGTATCAGCGTATCATCGTATCAGCGTATCAGCGATCAGCGTATCAGCATATCAGCGATCAGATCAGCGACCAGATCAGCGTATCAGCGTATCAGCGCATCAGCGCATCAGCGCATCAGCGCATCAGCGTATCAGCGTATCAGCGCATCAGCGTATCAGCGTATCAGCGCATCAGCGTATCAGCGTATCAGCGCATCAACGTATCAGCGTATCAGCGTAACAGCGTAACAGCGTAACAGCGTAACAGCGCATCAGCGCATCAGCGCATCAGCGCATCAGCGTATCAGCGCATCAGCGTATCAGCGCATCAGCGCATCAGCGCATCAGCGTATCAGCGTATTAGCGCATCAGCGTATCAGCGAATCAGCGATCAGCGTATCAGCGATCAGATCAGCGGTCAGATCAGCGTATCAGCGCATCAGCGTATCAGCGTATCAGCGTATCAGCGCATCAGCGCATCAGCGTATCAGCGTATCAGCGTATCAGCGCATCAGCGCATCAGCGATCAGCGATCAGCGTATCGGCGCATCAGCGCATTAGCGCATCAGCGCATCAGCGTATCAGCGATCAGCGATCAGATCAGCGTATCAGCGTATCAGCGATCAGCGTATTAGCGTATCAGCGTAACAGCGTAACAGCGTAACAGCGTAACAGCGTATTAGCGTATCAGCGCATCAGCGATCAGATCAGCGATCAGCGATCAGATCAGCATATCAGTGCATCAGCGTATCAGCGTATCAGCGTATCAGTGCATCAGCGCATCAGCGCATCAGCGTATCAGCGTATCAGCGTATCAGCGCATCAGCGTATCAGCGTATCAGCGTATCAGCGATCAGCGATCAGCGATCAGATCAGCGATCAGCGATCAGATCAGCGTATCAGTGCATCAGCGTATCAGCGTATCAGCGTATCAGCGCATCAGCGCATCAGCGCATCAGCGCATCAGCGTATCAGCGTATCAGCGCATCAGCGCATCAGCGTATCAGCGTATCAGCGTATCAGCGCATCAGCGCATCAGCGTATCAGCGTATCAGCGTATCAGCGATCAGCATATCAGCGATCAGATCAGCGTATCAGCGTATCAGCGTATCAGCGTATCAGCGCATCAGCGTATCAGCGCATCAGCGCATCAGCGAATCAGCGATCAGCGATCAGCGATCAGCGCATCAGCGTATCAGAGATCAGATCAGCGATCAGCGTATCAGCGTATCAGCGCATCAACGTATCAGCGTATCAGCGTAACAGCGTAACAGCGTAACAGCGTAACAGCGTAACAGCGCATCAGCGCATCAGCGTATCAGCGCATCAGCGTATCAGCGCATCAGCGCATCAGCGTATCAGCGTATCAGCGCATCAGCGTATCAGCGTATCAGCGCATCAGCGCATCAGCGCATCAGCGCATCAGCGTATCAGCGCATCAGCGTATCAGCGTATCAGCGCATCAGCGCATTAGCGAATCAGCGATCAGCGATCAGCGTATCAGCGTATCAGAGATCAGATCAGCGATCAGCGTATCAGCGTATCAGCGGATCAACTAACAGCGTATCAGCGTAACAGCGTAACAGCGTAACAGCGTAACAGCGCATCAGCGCATCAGCGCATCAGCGTATCAGCGCATCAGCGTATCAGCGCATCAGCGCATCAGCGCATCAGCGCATCAGCGTATCAGCGCATCAGCGCATCAGCGTATCAGCGCATCAGCGCATCAGCGCATCAGCGCATCAGCGCATCAGCGCATCAGCGTATCAGCGCATCAGCGTATCAGCGTATCAGCGCATCAGCGAATCAGCGATCAGCGATCAGCGATCAGCGTATCAGCGTATCAGAGATCAGATCAGCGTATCAGCGTATCAGCGATCAGCGTATCAGCGTATCAGCGTAAAAGCGTAACAGCGTATTAGCGTATCAGCGCATCAGCGCATCAGCGCATCAGCGCATCAGCGTATCAGCGCATCAGCGCATCAGCGTATCAACGCATCAGCGCATCAGCGCATCAGCGCATCAGCGTATCAGCGATCAGGTCAGTGATTAGATCAGTGTATCAGCGTAACAGCGTAACAGCGTAACAGCATATCAGCGCATCAGCGCATCAGCGCATCAGCGTATCAGCGTATCAGCGTATCAGCGCATCAGCGTATCAGCGTATCAACGTATCAGCGTATCAGCGTATCAGCGTATCAGCGATCAGCGTATCAGCATATCAGCGATCAGATCAGCGATCAGATCAGCGTATCACCGCATCAGCGTATCAGCGTATCAGCGTATCAGCGCATCAGCGCATCAGCGTATCAGCGTATCAGCGTATCAGCGCATCAGAGTATCAGCGTATCAACGTATCAGCTTATCAGCGTATCAGCGATCAGCGTATCAGCATATCAGCGATCAGATCAGCGATCAGATTAGCGTATCAGCGCATCAGCGTATCAGCGTATCAGCGTATCAGCGCATCAGCGCATCAGCGATCAGCGATCAGCGTATCAGCGCATCAGATCAGCGCATCAGCGTATCAGCGACCAGCGTATCAGCATATCAGCGATCAGATCAGCGATCAGATAAGCGTATCAGCGCATCAGCGTATCAGCATATCAGCGCATCAGTGCATCAGCGATCAGCGATCAGCGTATCAGCGCATCAGATCAGTGTATCAGCGCATCAGCGCATCAGCGTATCAGCGTATCAGCGATCAGCGTATCAGCATATCAGCGATCAGATCAGCGATCAGATCAGCGTATCAGCGCATCAGCGTATCAGCGTATCAGCGTATCAGCGCATCAGCGATCAGCGATCAGCGTATCAGCGATCATTCAGCGATCAGATCAGCGCATCAGCGTATCAGCGTATTAGCGTATCAGCGTATCAGTGAATCAGCGATCAGCGTATCAGCGATCAGATCAGCGATCAGATCAACGTATCAGCGCATCAGCGTATCAGCGCATCAGCGTATCAGCGCATCAGCGCATCAGCGTATCAGCGTATCAGCGTATCAGCGCATCAGCGCATCAGCGCATCAGCGATCAGCGTATCAGCGATCAGCGGTCAGATCAGCGCATCAGCGCATCAGCGTATCAGCGTATCAGCGTATCAGCGCATCAGCGTATCAGCGTATCAACGTATCAGCGTATCAGCGTATCAGCGATCAGCGTATCAGCATATCAGCGATCAGATCAGCGATCAGATCAGCGTATCAGCGTATCAGCGCATCAGCGCATCAGCGCATCAGCGTATCAGCGTATCAGCGCATCAGCGTATCAGCGTATCAGCGCATCAGCGTATCAGCGTATCAGCGCATCAACGTATCAGCGTAACAGCGTAACAGCGTAACAGCGTAACAGCGTAACAGCGCATCAGCGCATCAGCGCATCAGCGCATCAGCGTATCAGCGCATCAGCGTATCAGCGCATCAGCGCATCAGCGCATTAGCGTATCAGCGTATTAGCGCATCAGCGTATCAGCGAATCAGCGATCAGCGTATCAGCGATCAGATCAGCGATCAGATCAGCGTATCAGCGCATCAGCGTATCAGCGTATCAGCGTATCAGCGCATCAGCGCATCAGCGTATCAGCGTATCAGCGTATCAGCGCATCAGCGCATCAGCGATCAGCGTATCAGCGATCAGCGGTCAGATCAGCGCATCAGCGCATCAGCGTATCAGCGTATCAGCGTATCAGCGCATCAGCGTATCAGCGTATCAACGTATCAGCGTATCAGCGTATCAGCGTATCAGCGATCAGCGTATCAGCATATCAGCGATCAGATCAGCGATCAGATCAGCGTATCAGCGTATCAGCGCATCAGCGCATCAGCGTATCAGTGTATCAGCGCATCAGCGTATCAGCGTATCAGCGCATCAGCGTATCAGCGTATCAGCGCATCAACGTATCAGGGTATCAGCGTAACAGCGTAACAGCGTAACAGCGTAACAGCGCATCAGCGCATCAGCGCATCAGCGTATCAGCGCATCAGCGTATCAGCGTATCAGCGCATCAGCGCATCAGCGCATCAGCGCATCAGCGTATCAGCGTATCAGCGCATCAGCGTATCAGCGATCAGATCAGCGTATCAGCGCATCAGCGTATCAGCGTATCAGCGTATCAGCGATCCGCGAATCACCTCACCCCATGTGTCCTTCCCATTCACCCCATGAGTCCCTCCCATTCACCCCATGCGTCCCACCCATTCACCCCATGAGTCCCTCCCATTCACCCCATGCGTCCCATCCATTCACCCCATGGCCTCACCTGCGCCCAGGGCGGCAGCACGACATCGTTGAGCATGGAGCCGTCCTGGCACTGCCCCAGATACAGGTGGTTGGTGGCGTTGGCGAGGAAGTCAGGCACCTTTGAGGCGACTAAAAAAACACACCTCATCCCATCAACCCCTTTCACCCCATGTGACCCACCTGCGCCCAGGGCGGCAGCACCACATCGTTGAGCATGGAGCCGTCCTGGCACTGGCCCAGGTACAGGTGGTTGGCGTTGGAGAGGAAGTCAGGCAGGTAGAAGAACTCGGGGGTGAGCTCCTTGACGTCGCTCGTGTTGGTGAGACAGTTGGCCCACGTCACTGCTACTGACTGGAACAGCCGATCTGCATGGTCAAACTTGCCGCCCTGTGAATGGGTGAGGGGCAGGGGGAGAGGGCGGGGCGGATGGGGGAGCAGTGTGAGAGAGGTAGTGGTGCTGAGCTGATGGCCATGAGACCGATTCCAACGGCCTCACACGGTGTTGATGTGTGGCGCGCTGCAACCAATTTCATTTTGAAGTGACAAGACAAAGCAAGGGATGTGAGCAGGGTCATGAGTTGCAGTGGGCAGAGCAATGGCACAGCACAGCACGGCAGAGCAGCACAGGGTACACGAGGGCAGGGCAGAGCGAGCCTGACCTGCAGGCGGCAGCTGAGAGTGGCGAAGGGCTCAAGGCGCAGCAGGTAGAAGAGCACGATGCCCGCTGTGGAGTAGTGCGAGCCGTACAGGAAACTGCGATCATGCAAGGGGGGAAAAGGTGACGGGAAGAGAAGGGAGAGGAGGGAGAGGTATAGGGGTGATGTTGGCCAGCATGGCATGGATGGCAGCACTGTGCTAGTGGGGAGCTGTGAGTCATGGCATGCCATGGTGAGGGACGCACCTTGGAATATCGGGGTCCCGGAAACTCTCTGCTCTGTCACGGAACATCTGCACTCGCACACACGGTGAGGGGTGGAGAGGGAATAAGAGAATGGAGAGGGAAGGATGAGCGAGCAGATGCAGGCAAAACACTGACACATGCAACTGCACCACAACGAAGCTGGGGTTTACCTTTTTCAACCACCCCCGACAATGAAACAGCAGCATACATGCCACGCGAAAAAATCAATAGCACGCCACCATGCCAACCGCACCACCACACAACGCACCTCAAGGCGCTTGGCATTGAGCGCCCCCACGGGCTTGCCGAGGTCACGGAACGTGCTCTCGCTGTGCAGGTCCAGGTGCTGGCTCTCATAATCCGCGATGACCCACGGGAACACGGGGTACTGCGCCAGGTCGTTGTACGTGCGTATACCACATCCAAGCCGGGCCGAGCTGAACTACTCCCAGCAAAGAAGACCGCATAGCATAGCACACGAGCAAAGCAACAGCACGCCACTGAGCCACCACACCACGCACCTCAAGGCGCTTGGCATTGAGCGCCCCCACGGGCTTGCCGAGGTCACGGAAGGTGCTCTCGCTCCCCAGGTCCAGGTGCTCGCTCTCATAGTCCGCGATCACCCACGGGAACACGGGGTACTGCGCGAGGTCGTTGTACGTGCGCCCCGCCAGCGTGTTCAGCACCATCAGGTACTCAAAGTTGCTCAGCTCGCGCCGCCGCCACGCCGCTGCCGCCTTCTCCGCGCGCTCCAGGGCGCGGGGCCGGTCCACCACCATCACGTGCTCCTCGCGTGCACGCGTGGACCGCGCTGTGGCGTTGGCCACGGCCGCCAGCTTGGCCGCGAAGTCGGCTGCCAGGCGCGGCGAGGCGAACGTGAAGAGTGCGGGTGGGCGGGCGGCGGGGGAGGTGAAGGAGAGCTCGAGGGCCGTGTAGCGCAGAAGGAAGCGCGTTACTCGAATGAGCCGCAGCTGGGGGTGGGGGAAGTGGGATCAATAGTGGACAGTGGGGGTCAGTTGAGAACAGGGAGGTTGGGAAAGAGAAAAGGGCACGCTCATACGCTGCACCACACACTCGTACGCTGCACCACCCGCACATACGCTGCACCGCACGCTCATACACTGCACCGCACGCTCATACACTGCACCACACGCTCATACACTGCACCGCCCGCTCAAACGCTGCACCGCCCGCTCAAACGCTGCACCGCCCGCTCATACGCTGCACCGCACGCTCATACGCCGCACCGCACGCTCATACGCCGCACCGCCCGCTCATACGCTGCACCGCACGCTCATACGCCGCACCGCCCGCTCATACGCCGCACCGCACGCTCATACGCTGCACCGCACGCTCATACGCCGCACCGCACGCTCATACGCTGCACCGCCCGCTCATACGCTGCACCGCATGCTCATACGCTGCACCGCACGCTCATACGCTGCACCGCACGCTCATACGCTGCACCGCACGCTCATACGCTGCACCGCACGCTCATACGCTGCACCGCACGCTCATACGCTGCACCGCCCGCTCATACGCTGCACCGCACGCTCAAACGCTGCACCGCACGCTCAAACGCTGCACCGCACGCTCAAACGCTGCACCGCACGCTCAAACCCTGCACCGCACGCTCATACGCTGCACAGCCCGCTCATACGCTGCACCGCCCGCTCATACGCTGCACCGCCCGCTCATACGCTGCACCGCCCGCTCAAACGCTGCACCGCACGCTCAAACGCTGCACCGCCCGCTCATACGCTGCACCGCACGCTCATACGCCGCACCGCACGCTCATACGCCGCACCGCCCGCTCATACGCTGCACCGCACGCTCAAACGTTGCACCGCACGCTCATACGCTGCACCGCACGCTCATACGCTGCACCGCTCGCTCATACGCTGCACCGCCCGCTCATACGCGGCACCGCCCACTCATACGCGGCACCTCACGCTCATACGCTGCACCGTCCCCTCAAACGCTGCACCGTCCCCTCATACGCTGCACCGCACGCTCATACGCTGCACCGCCCGCTCATACGCTGCACCGCCCGCTCATACGCTGCACCGCACGCTCATACGCTGCACCGCACGCTCATACGCTGCACCGCCCGCTCATACGCTGCACCGCCCGCTCAAACGCTGCATCGCCCAATCAAACGCTGCACCCCACGCTCAAACGCTGCTGAGCCCGCTCATACGCTGCACCGCACGCTCATACGCTGCACCGCACGCTCATACGCTGCACCGCACGCTCATACGCTGCACCGCCCGCTAAGACGCTGCACCGCCCGCTCATACGCTGCACCGCCCGCTCAAACGCTGCACCGCACGCTCATACGCTCATACGCTGCACCGCCCGCTCAAACGCTGCACCGCACGCTCAAACGCTGCACCGCCCGCTCATACGCTGCACCGCACGCTCATACGCCGCACCGCACGCTCATACGCCGCACCGCCCGCTCATACGCTGCACCGCACGCTCAAACGTTGCACCGCACGCTCATACGCTGCACCGCACGCTCATACGCTGCACCGCCCGCTCATACGCTGCACCGCCCGCTTATACGCGGCACCGCCCGCTCATACGCGGCACTGCACGCTCATACGCTGCACCGTCCCCTCATACGCTGCACCGTCCCCTCATACGCTGCACCGCACGCTCATACGCTGCACCGCCCGCTCATACGCTGCACCGCCCGCTCATACGCTGCACCGCACGCTCATACGCTGCACCGCACGCTCATACGCTGCACCGGCCGCTCATACGCTGCACCGCCCGCTCAAACGCTGCACCGCCCAATCTAACTCTGCACCCCACGCTCAAACGCTGCTGAGCCCGCTCATACGCTGCACCGCACGCTCATACGCTGCACCGCACGCTCATACGCTGCACCGCACGCTCATACACTGCACCGCACGCTCATACGCTGCACCGCACGCTCATACGCTGCACCGCACGCTCATACGCTGCACCGCACGCTCATACGCTGCACCGCACGCTCAAACGTTGCACCGCACGCTCAAACCCTGCACCGCACGCTCATACGCTGCACAGCCCGCTCATACGCTGCACCGCCCGCTCAAACGCTGCACCGCACGCTCAAACGCTGCACCGCCCGCTCATACGCTGCACCGCACGCTCATACGCCGCACCGCACGCTCATACGCCGCACCGCCCGATCATACGCTGCACCGCACGCTCAAACGTTGCACCGCACGCTCATACGCTGCACCGCACGCTCATACGCTGCACCGCCCGCTCATACGCTGCACCGCCCGCTCATACGCTGCACCGCCAGCTCATACGCTGCACCGCCCGCTCATACGCTGCACCGCCCGCTCATACGCTGCACCGCCCGCTTATACGCTGCACCTCCCGCTCATACGCTGCACCGCCCGCTCATACAATGCACCGCCCGCTCATGCGCAGCACCGCCCGCTCATACGCTGCACCGCCCGCTTATACACTGCACCGCACGCTCATACGCTGCACCGCACGCTCATACACCGCAACGCCCGCTCATACGCTGCACCGCACGCTCAAACGGTGCACCGCGCGCTCATACGCTGCACCGCCCGCTCACACGCTGCACCGCACGCTCATACGCTGCACCGTCCCCTCATACGCTTCACCGTCCCCTCATACGCTGCACCGCACGCTCATACGCTGCACCGCCCGCTCATACGCTGCACCGCACGCTCATACGCTGCACCGCACGCTCATACGCTGCACCGCCCGCTCATACGCGGCACCGCCCGCTCATACGCTGCACCGCCCAATCAAACGCTGCACCCCACGCTCAAACGCTGCTGAGCCCGCTCATACGCTGCACCGCACGCTCATACGCTGCACCGCACGCTCATACGCTGCACCGCACGCTCATACGCTGCACCGCACGCTCATACGCTGCACCGCACGCTCATACGCTGCACCGCACGCTCATACGCTGCACCGCACGCTCAAAAGCTGCACCGCACGCTCAAACCCTGCACCGCACGCTCATACGCTGCACAGCCCGCTCATACGCTGCACCGCCCGCTCATACGCTGCACCGCACGCTCATACGCTGCACCGCACGCTCATACGCTGCACCGCACGCTCATACGCTGCACCGCACGCTCATACGCTGCACCGCCCGCTCAGACGCTGCACCGCCCGCTCATACGCTGCACCGCACGCTCAAACGCTGCACCGCACGCTCAAACGCTGCACCGCATGCTCAAACCCTGCACCGCACGCTCATACGCTGCACAGCCCGCTCATACGCTGCACCGCCCGCTCATACGCTGCACCGCCCGCTCAAACGCTGCACCGCCCGCTCATACGCTGCACCGCACGCTCATACGCCGTACCGCACGCTCATACGCCGCACCGCCCGCTCATACGCTGCACCGCACGCTCAAACGTTGCACCGCACGCTCATACGCTGCACCGCACGCTCATACGCTGCACCGCCCGCTCATACGCTGCACCGCCCGCTCATGATAGAATCTCAAGTTGTTAATATCATTAGGAAAAACGTGGGTACATATAGGAGAGAAACGCGAGGGTAACTTGGAGAGGTACCCAAAGCATTATTGGTGGACCAATAAGAGTGGTCACCAACTTCGGGCTGACCGTCAATTATTGGGGGGACCAATAATGGTTGGGATGAACCAACCAAGTTGGTTTCCCTCCAGTTGCGGTCGAGTGGGTTTGGGGTGCACAAAACCAAACCTGGACCAAAGTGTACACCCACATTGGGTGAAACACTTGCACCATTATAAACTGACATATGCTATAATCTAACACAACCCCTTAGCATAAGAAGTTTGTAATGGTGCACAACCCCTGAAGTATGAAGCTGAGAACGGGCCGTCGCACGCCAGCCGGGAGGGGGGCTGCTGCAGGTGAGGAGGCAAGCCAGCCCAAGGTGCTGCGGCGGTGATGTTGCACGCCAGCCGGGAGGGGGGTTGCTGCAGGTGAGGAGGCAAGCCAGCCCTAGGTGCTGCGGCGGTGATGTCGCACGCCAGCCGGGAGGGGGGCTGCTGCAGGTGAGGAGGCAAGCCAGCCCAAGGTGCTGCGGCGGTGATGTCGCACGCCAGCCGGGAGGGGGGCTGCTGCAGGTGAGGAGGCAAGCCAGCCCAAGGTGCTGCGGCGGTGATGTCGCACGCCAGCCGGGAGGGGGGCTGCTGCAGGTGAGGAGGCAAGCCAGCCCAAGGTGCTGCGGCGGTGATGGCGCACGCCAGCCGGGAGGGGGGCTGCTGCAGGTGAGGAGGCAAGCCAGCCCAAGGTGCTGCGGCGGTGATGTCGCACGCCAGCCGGGAGGGGGGCTGCTGCAGGTGAGGAGGCAAGCCAGCCCAAGATGATGCGGCGGTGATGTCGCACGCCAGCCGGGAGGGGGGCTGCTGCATGTGAGGAGGCAAGCCAGCCCAAGCTGCTGCGGCGGTGATGTCGCACGCCAGCCGGGAGGGGGGCTGCTGCAGGTGAGGAGGCAAGCCAGCCCAAGGTGCTGCGGCGGTGATGTCGCACGCCAGCCGGGAGGGGGGCTGCTGCAGGTGAGGAGGCAAGCCAGCCCAAGGTGCTGCGGCGATGATGTCGCACGCCAGCCGGGAGGGGGGCTGCTGCAGGTGAGGAGGCAAGCCAGCCCAAGGTGCTGCGGCGGTGATGTCGCACGCCAGCCGGGAGGGGGGCTGCTGCAGGTGAGGAGGCAAGTCAGCCCAAGCTGCTGCGGCGGTGATGTCGCACGCCAGCCGGGAGGGGGGCTGCTGCAGGTGAGGAGGCAAGCCAGCCCAAGGTGCTGCGGCGGTGACGTCGCACGCCAGCCGGGAGGGGGGCTGCTGCAGGTGAGGAGGCAAGCCAGCCCAAGGTGCTGCGGCGGTGATGTCGCACGCCAGCCGGGAGGGGGGCTGCTGCAGGTGAGGAGGCAAGCCAGCCCAAGGTGCTGCGGCGGTGATGTCGCACGCCAGCCGGGAGGGAGGCTGCTGCAGGTGAGGAGGCAAGCCAGCCCAAGGTGCTGCGGCGGTGATGTCGCACGCCAGCCGGGAGGGGGGCTGCTGCAGGTGAGGAGGCAAGCCAGCCCAAGGTGCTGCGGCGGTGATGTCGCACGCCAGCCGGGAGGGGGGCTGCTGCAGGTGAGGAGGCAAGCCAGCCCAAGGTGCTGCGGCGGTGATGTCGCACGCCAGCCGGGAGGGGGGCTGCTGCAGGTGAGGAGGCAAGCCAGCCCAAGGTGCTGCGGCCCAACGAGGGAGAGGGCTGGAAGGCCCGGAGGAGGAGGAAGCGAGGGGGAGGTGGGCTGGAATGCCCGGAGGAGGAGGAAGCGAGGGGGGGCGGAGGGCGGAATGCCCTGAGGAGGAGGAAGCGAGGGGGGTGGAGGGCTGGAATGCCCTGAGGAGGAGGAAGCGAGGGGGGGAGGAGGGCTGGAATGCCCTGAGGAGGAGGAAGCGAGGGGGGAGGAGGGCTGGAATGCCCTGAGGAGGAGGAAGCGAGGGGGGCGGAGGGCGGAATGCCCTGAGGAGGAGGAAGCAAGGGGGGAGGAGGGCTGGAATGCCCGGAGGAGGAGGAGCGAGGGGGGAGGAGGGCTGGACTGCCCTGAGGAGGAGGAAGAGAGGGGGGAGGAGGGCGGAATGCCCTGAGGAGGAAGAGAGGGGGGAGGAGGGCTGGAATGCCCTGAGGAGGAGGAAGCGAGGGGGGGAGGAGGGCGGAATGCCCTGAGGACGAGGAAGCGAGGGGGGGAGGAGGGCGGGAATGCCCTTAGGAGGAGGAAGCGAGGGGGGAGGAGGGCTGGAATGCCCTGAGGAGGAGGAAGCGAGGGGGGAGGAGGGCTGGAATGCCCTGAGGAGGAGGAAGCGAGGGGGGAGGAGGGCTGGAATGCCCTGAGGAGGAGGAAGCGAGGGGGGAGGAGGGCTGGAATGCCCTGAGGAGGAGGAAGCGAGGGGGGAGGAGGGCTGGAATGCCCGGAGGAGGAGGAGTGAGGGGGGGAGGAGGGCTGGACTGCCCTGAGGAGGAGGAAGAGAGGGGGGAGGAGGGCGGAATGCCCTGAGGAGGGGGAAGCGAGGGGGGAGGAGGGCTGGAATGCCCTGAGGAGGAGGAAGCGAGGGGGGAGGAGGGCAGAATGCCCTGAGGAGGAGGAAGCGAGGGGGGCGGAGGGCTGGAATGCCCTGGGGAGGCGGAAGCGAGGGGGGAGGAGGGCTGGAACGCCCTGAGGAGGAGGAAGCGAGGGGGGAGGAGGGCTGGAATGCCCTGAGGAGGCGGAAGCGAGGGGGGAGGAGGGCTGGAATGCCCTGAGGAGGAGGAGCGAGGGGGGAGGAGGGCTGGACTGCCCTGAGGAGGAGGAAGAGAGGGGGGAGGAGGGCGGAATGCCCTGAGGAGGGGGAAGCGAGGGGGGAGGAGGGCTGGAATGCCCTGAGGAGGAGGAAGAGAGGGGGGAGGAGGGCAGAATGCCCTGAGGAGGAGGAAGCGAGGTGGGAGGAGGGCTGGAATGCCCTGAGGAGGAGGAAGCGAGGGGGGTGGAGGGCTGGAATGCCCTTAGGAGGCGGAAGCGAGGGGGGAGGAGGGCTGGAACGCCCTGAGGAGGAGGAAGCGAGGGGGGAGGAGGGCTGGAATGCCCTTAGGAGGCGGAAGCAAGGGGGGAGGAGGGCTGGAATGCCTGGAGGAGGAGGAAGCGAGGGGGGAGGAGGAGGGCTGGAATGCCCTGAGGAGGAAGAGAGGGGGGAGGAGGGCTGGAATGCCCTGAGGAGGAGGAAGCGAGGGGGGAGGAGGGCTGGAATGCCCTGAGGAGGAGGAAGCGAGGGGGGAGGAGGGCTGGAATGCCCTGAGGAGGAGGAAGCGAGGGGGGCGGAGGGCGGAATGCCCTGAGGAGGAGGAAGCGAGGGGGGAGGAGGGCTGGAATGCCCGGAGGAGGAGGAGCGAGGGGGGAGGAGGGCTGGACTGCCCTGAGGAGGAGGAAGAGAGGGGGGAGGAGGGCAGAATGCCCTGAGGAGGGGGAAGCGAGGGGGGAGGAGGGCTGGAATGCCCTGAGGAGGAGGAAGCGAGGGGGGCGGAGGGCAGAATGCCCTGAGGAGGAGGAAGCGAGGGGGGCGGAGGGCTGGAATGCGCTGAGGAGGAGGAAGCGAGGGGGGAGGAGGGCTGGAATGCGCTGAGGAGGAGGAAGCGAGGGGGGAGGAGGGCTGGAATGCCCTGAGGAGGAGGAAGCGAGGGGGGAGGAGGGCTGGAATGCCCGGAGGAGGAGGAGTGAGGGGGGGAGGAGGGCTGGACTGCCCTGAGGAGGAGGAAGAGAGGGGGGAGGAGGGCGGAATGCCCTGAGGAGGGGGAAGCGAGGGGGGAGGAGGGCTGGAATGCCCTGAGGAGGAGGAAGCGAGGGGGGAGGAGGGCAGAATGCCCTGAGGAGGAGGAAGCGAGGGGGGAGGAGGGCTGGAATGCCCTGGGGAGGCGGAAGCGAGGGGGGAGGAGGGCTGGAACGCCCTGAGGAGGAGGAAGCGAGGGGGGAGGAGGGCTGGAACGCCCTGAGGAGGAGGAAGCGAGGGGGGAGGAGGGCTGGAACGCCCTGAGGAGGAGGAAGCGAGGGGGGAGGAGGGCTGGAATGCCCTGAGGAGGAGGAAGCGAGGGGGGAGGAGGGCTGGACTGCCCTGAGGAGGAGGAAGAGAGGGGGGAGGAGGGCGGAATGCCCTGAGGAGGGGGAAGCGAGGGGGGAGGAGGGCTGGAATGCCCTGAGGAGGAGGGAAGCGAGGGGGGACGAGGGCTGGAATGCCCTGAGGAGGAGGAAGAGAGGGGGGAGGAGGGCAGAATGCCCTGAGGAGGAGGAAGCGAGGTGGGAGGAGGGCTGGAATGCCCTGAGGAGGAGGAAGCGAGGGGGGTGGAGGGCTGGAATGCCCTTAGGAGGCGGAAGCGAGGGGGGAGGAGGGCTGGAACGCCCTGAGGAGGAGGAAGCGAGGGGGGAGGAGGGCTGGAATGCCCTTAGGAGGCGGAAGCGAGGGGGGAGGAGGGCTGGAATGCCTGGAGGAGGAGGAAGCGAGGGGGGAGGAGGAGGGCTGGAATGCCCTGAGGAGGAAGAGAGGGGGGAGGAGGGCTGGAATGCCCTGAGGAGGAGGAAGCGAGGGGGGAGGAGGGCTGGAATGCCCTGAGGAGGAGGAAGCGAGGGGGGAGGAGGGCTGGAATGCCCTGAGGAGGAGGAAGAGAGGGGGGAGGAGGGCGGAATGCCCTGAGGGGGAGGAAGCGAGGGGGGAGGAGGGCTGGAATGCCCTGAGGAGGAGGAAGCGAGGGGGGAGGAGGGCCGGAATGCCCTGAGGAGGAGGAAGCGAGGGGGGAGGAGGGCTGGAATGCCCTGAGGAGGAGGAAGCGAGGGGGGAGGAGGGCTGGAATGCCCTGAGGAGGAGGAAGCGAGGGGGGAGGAGGGCTGGAATGCCCTGAGGAGGAGGAAGCGAGGGGGGAGGAGAGGGGGTTATATGTTGAGGGTGGAGGATGGGAGGAGAGCGGAGGCATGGATGGCGGAACAAGGAGGCAGTGTGGAGAGGAACGGGCGCTTCAGGCCTACGTGGCGGCGGATGAGTCGTGCGGACGCGGCGGCCGACGTCGTCTCGGAAGCAACAGCGGAATGGCGTGAGGCCGCGGCGGAAGTGGCTGCGACATGATGCCGCGGGGACAAAAACTAGGTAGCGGCGCGATGTCTAAGACGGAGGCAGCGAGAGGCCACCGCGGTGCACAGTGCGCGGAAGCGAGAGAAGGCGCGGCAGCTGGTCGCGGCGGCGGCGGCGGGCTGCCCCGCAGTGGCGAAATCGAAATGCGAATTGCCCTGCGGTGGCGAAATCGAAATGCGAATTGCCCTGCGGTGGCGAAATCGAAATGCGAATTGCCCTGCGACGGCGAAATCGAAATGCGAATTGCCCTACGGCGGCGAAATCGAAATGCGAATTGCCCTGCGGCGGCGAAATCGAAATGCGGATTGCCCTGCGGCGGCGAAATCGAAATGCGAATTGCCCTGCGGCGGCGAAATCGAAATGCGAATTGCCCTGTGGCGGCGAAATCGAAATGCGAATTGCCCTACGGCGGCGAAATCGAAATGCGAATTGTCCCGCGATGAAGAAGTGCAGCGACGGCGGCGAGTTGCCTCGCGGCGACGAGGGAAGGAGCAGCGGCGACGAAGGTCGCGGACGGCAAAATCAGCGGCTGCAGCTGCTGCTGGCGGCGGCGACAGCGATAGTCAAGGCGGTAGGAGAGGGAGTGACGAGTGGCGAGGAAACTTGCCAAGGTGCTCAGTCACAACCTTAGAGGGGAAGGGCCACGGGAGATCGCGTGGGCGGAAACGATTTTCTGTTCAGAGTCAACCCACTGGAGTTGCGTGGGCAGGACAGAAGAGAGGAGGAGGAGGGGTCCTGTGGATCGAAAAACAAACTTGAGGGGAGGGAGGAAGCGTTAGCCAAAATGCTCTGCTAACATGATAGAATCTCAAGTTGTTAATATCATTAGGAAAAACGTGGGTACATATAGGAGAGAAACGCGAGGGTAACTTGGAGAGGTACCCAAAGCATTATTGGTGGACCAATAAGAGTGGTCACCAACTTTGGGCTGACCGTCAATTATTGGGGGGACCAATAATGGTTGGGATGAACCAACCAAGTTGGTTTCCCTCCAGTTGCGGTCGAGTGGGTTTGGGGTGCACAAAACCAAACCTGGACCAAAGTGTACACCCACATTGGGTGAAACACTTGCACCATTATAAACTGACATATGCTATAATCTAACAGCTCATACGCTGCACCGCACGCTCAAAAGCTGCACCGCACGCTCAAACCCTGCACCGCACGCTCATACGCTGCACAGCCCGCTCATACGCTGCACCGCCCGCTCATACGCTGCACCGCACGCTCATACGCTGCACCGCACGCTCATACGCTGCACCGCACGCTCATACGCTGCACCGCACGCTCATACGCTGCACCGCCCGCTCAGACGCTGCACCGCCCGCTCATACGCTGCACCGCACGCTCAAACGCTGCACCGCACGCTCAAACGCTGCACCGCACGCTCAAACCCTGCACCGCACGCTCATACGCTGCACAGCCCGCTCATACGCTGCACCGCCCGCTCATACGCTGCACCGCCCGCTCAAACGCTGCACCGCACGCTCAAACGCTGCACCGCCCGCTCATACGCTGCGCCGCACGCTCATACGCCGCACCGCACGCTCATATGCCGCACCGCCCGCTCATACGCTGCACCGCACGCTCAAACGTTGCACCGCACGCTCATACGCTGCACCGCACGCTCATACGCCGCACCGCCCGCTCATACGCTGCACCGCACGCTCAAACGGTGCACCGCACGCTCATACGCTGCACCGCATGCTCATACGCTGCACCGCACGCTCATACGCTGCACCGCACGCTCATACGCTGCACCGCACGCTCATACGCTGCACCGCACGCTCATACGCTGCACCGCAAGCTCATACGCTGCACCGCACGCTCATACGCTGCACCGCACGCTCATACGCTGCACCGCACGCTCATAAGCTGCACCGCACGCTCATACGCTGCACCGCACGCTCATACGCTGCACCGCCCGCTAAGACGCTGCACCGCCCGCTCATACGCTGCACCGCCCGCTCATACGCTGCACCGCCCGCTCATACGCTGCACCGCCCGCTCATACGCTGCACCGCACGCTCAAACGCTGCACCGCACGCTCAAACGCTGCACCGCACGCTCAAACGCTGCACCGCACGCTCAAACCCTGCACCGCACGCTCATACGCTGCACAGCCCGCTCATACGCTGCACCGCCCGCTCATACGCTGCACCGCCCGCTCAAACGCTGCACCGCACGCTCAAACGCTGCACCGCCCGCTCATACGCTGCACCGCACGCTCATACGCCGCCGCACGCTCATGCGCCGCACCGCCCGCTCATACGTTGCACCGCACGCTCAAACGTTGCACCGCACGCTCATACGCTGCACCGCACGCTCATACGCTGCACCGCCCGCTCATACGCGGCACCGCCCGCTCATACGCGGCACCGCACGCTCATACGCTGCACCGTCCCCTCAAACGCTGCACCGTCCCCTCATACGCTGCACCGCACGCTCATACGCTGCACCGCCCGCTCATACGCTGCACCACCCGCTCATACGCTGCACCGCACGCTCATACGCTGCACCGCACGCTCATACGCTGCACCGCCCGCTCATACGCTGCACCGCCCGCTCAAACGCTGCATCGCCCAATCAAACGCTGCACCCCACGCTCAAACGCTGCTGAGCCCGCTCATACGCTGCACCGCACGCTCATACGCTGCACCGCACGCTCATACGCTGCACCGCACGCTCATACGCTGCACCGCCCGCTAAGACGCTGCACCGCCCGCTCATACGCTGCACCGCCCGCTCAAACGCTGCACCGCACGCTCATACGCTGCACCGCCCGCTCAAACGCTGCACCGCACGCTCAAACGCTGCACCGCCCGCTCATACGCTGCACCGCACGCTCATACGCCGCACCGCACGCTCATACGCCGCACCGCCCGCTCATACACTGCACCGCACGCTCAAACGTTGCACCGCACGCTCATACGCTGCACCGCACGCTCATACGCTGCACCGCCCGCTCATACGCTGCGCCGCCCGCTCATACGCGGCACCGCCCGCTCATACGCGGCACCGTCCCCTCATAAGCTGCACCGTCCCCTCATACGCTGCACCGTCCCCTCATACGCTGCACCGCACGCTCATACGCTGCACCGCCCGCTCATACGCTGCACCGCCCGCTCATACGCTGCACCGCACGCTCATACGCTGCACCGCACGCTCATACGCTGCACCGCCCGCTCATACGCTGCACCGCACGCTCATACGCCGCACCGCCCGCTCATACGCTGCACCGCACGCTCAAACGTTGCACCGCACGCTCATACGCTGCACCGCACGCTCATACGCTGCACCGCCCGCTCATACGCTGCACCGCCCGCTCATACGCTGCACCGCCCGCTCATACGCTGCACAGCCCGCTCATACGCTGCACCGCCCGCTCAAACGCTGCACCGCCCGCTCAAACGCTGCACCGCACGCTCATACGCCGCACCGCACGCTCATACGCCGCACCGCCCGCTCATACGCTGCACCGCACGCTCAAACGTTGCACCGCACGCTCAAACGTTGCACCGCACGCTCATACGCTGCACCGCCCGCTCATACGCTGCACCGCCCGCTCATACGCTGCACCGCCCGCTCATACGCTGCACAGCCCGCTCATACGCTGCACAGCCCGCTCATACGCTGCACCGCCCGCTCAAACGCTGCACCGCACGCTCAAACGCTGCACCGCCCGCTCATACGCTGCACTGCACGCTCATACGCCGCACCGCACGCTCATACGCCGCACCGCCCGCTCATACGTTGCACCGCACGCTCAAACGTTGCACCGCACGCTCATACGCTGCACCGCACGCTCATACGCTGCACCGCCTGCTCATACGCTGCACCGCCCGCTCATACGCGGCACCGCCCGCTCATACGCGGCACCGCACGCTCATACGCTGCACCGTCCCCTCAAACGCTGCACCGTCCCCTCATACGCTGCACGGCACGCTCATACGCTGCACCGCCCGCTCATACGCTGCACCGCCCGCTCATACGCTGCACCGCACGCTCATACGCTGCACCGCACGCTCATACGCTGCACCGCACGCTCATACGCTGCACCGCACGCTCATACGCTGCACCGCACGCTCATACGCTGCACCGCACGCTCATACGCTGCACCGCACGCTCATACGCTGCACCGCACGCTCACGCTCAAACCCTGCACCGCACGCTCAAACCCTGCACCGTCCCCTCATACGCTGCACCGTCCCCTCATACGCTGCACCGCACGCTCATACGCTGCACCGCCCGCTCATACGCTGCACCGCCCGCTCATACGCTGCACCGCACGCTCATACGCTGCACCGCACGCTCATACGCTGCACCGCCCGCTCATACGCGGCACCGCCCGCTCATACGCTGCACCGCCCAATCAAACGCTGCACCCCACGCTCAAACGCTGCTGAGCCCGCTCATACGCTGCACCGCACGCTCATACGCTGCACCGCACGCTCATACGCTGCACCGCACGCTCATACGCTGCACCGCACGCTCATACGCTGCACCGCACGCTCATAGGCTGCACCGCACGCTCATACGCTGCACCGCACGCTCATACGCTGCACCGCACGCTCATACGCTGCACCGCCCGCTCATACGCTGCACCGCCCGCTCATACGCTGCACCGCACGCTCAAACGCTGCACCGCACGCTCAAACGCTGCACCGCATGCTCAAACCCTACACCGCACGCTCATACGCTGCACAGCCCGCTCATACGCTGCACCGCCCGCTCATACGCTGCACCGCACGCTCATACGCTGCACCGCACGCTCATACGCTGCACCGCACGCTCATTCGCTGCACCGCACGCTCATACGCTGCACCGCCCGCTCAGACGCTGCACCGCCCGCTCATACGCTGCACCGCACGCTCAAACGCTGCACCGCACGCTCAAACGCTGCACCGCACGCTCAAACCCTGCACCGCACGCTCATACGCTGCACAGCCCGCTCATACGCTGCACCGCACGCTCATACGCTGCACCGCCCGCTCAAACGCTGCACCGCACGCTCAAACGCTGCACCGCCCGCTCATACGCTGCACCGCACGCTCATACGCCGCACCGCACGCTCATACGCCGCACCGCCCGCTCATACGCTGCACCGCACGCTCAAACGTTGCACCGCACGCTCATACGCTGCACTGCCCGCTCATACGCTGCACCGCCCGCTCATACGCGGCACCGCCTGCTCATACGCGGCACTGCACGCTCATACGCTGCACCGTCCCCTCATACGCTGCACCGTCCCCTCATACGCTGCACCGCACGCTCATACGCTGCACCGCACGCTCATATGCTGCACCGCCCGCTCATACGCTGCACCGCCCGCTCATATGCTGCACCGCACGCTCAAACGCTGCACCGCACGCTCAAACGCTGCACCGCACGCTCAAACCCTGCACCGCACGCTCATACGTTGCACAGCCCGCTCATACGCTGCACCGCCCGCTCATACGCTGCACCGCCCGCTCAAACGCTGCACCGCACGCTCAAACGCTGCACCGCACGCTCATACGCCGCACCGCACGCTCATACGCCGCACCGCCCGCTCATACGCCGCACCGCACGCTCAAACGTTGCACCGCACGCTCATACGCTGCACCGCACACTCATACGCTGCACCGCCCGCTCATACGCTGCACCGCTCGCTCATACGCGGCACCGCCCGCTCATACGCGGCACTGCACGCTCATACGCTGCACCGTCCCCTCATACGCTGCACCGTCCCCTCATACGCTGCACCGCACGCTCATACGCAGCACCGCACGCTCATACGCTGCACCGCACGCTCATACGCTGCACCGCACGCTCATACGCTGCACCGCACGCTCATACGCTGCACCGCACGCTCATACGCTGCACCGCACGCTCATACGCTGCACCGCACGCTCATACGCTGCACCGCACGCTCATACGCTGCACCGCCCGCTCATACGCTGCACCGCACGCTCATACGCTGCACCGCCCGCTCATACGCTGCACCGCACGCTCATACGCTGCACCGCCCGCTCATACGCTGCACCGCACGCCCAAACGCTGCACCGCCCGCTCATACGCTGCACCGCCCAATCAAACGCTGCACCCCACGCTCAAACGCTGCTGAGCCCGCTCATACGCTGCACCGCACGCTCATACGCTGCACCGCACGCTCATACACTGCACCGCACGCTCATACGCTGCACCGCACGCTCATACGCTGCACCGCACGCTCATACGCTGCACCGCACGCTCATACGCTACACTGCACGCTCATACGCTGCACCGCACGCTCATACGCTGCACCGCCCGCTCATACGCTGCACCGCCCGCTCATACGCTGCACCGCACGCTCAAACGCTGCACCGCACGCTCAAACGCTGCACCGCATGCTCAAACCCTACACCGCACGCTCATACGCTGCACAGCCCGCTCATACGCTGCACCGCCCGCTCATACGCTGCACCGCACGCTCATACGCTGCACCGCACGGTCATACGCTGCACCGCACGCTCATACGCTGCACCGCACGCTCATACGCTGCACCGCCCGCTCAGACGCTGCACCGCCCGCTCATACGCTGCACCGCACGCTCAAACGCTGCACCGCACGCTCAAACGCTGCACCGCACGCTCATACGCTGCACCGCACGCTCATACGCTGCACCGCCCGCTCATACGCTGCACCGCCCGCTCATACGCGGCACCGCCCGCTCATACGCGGCACTGCACGCTCATACGCTGCACCGTCCCCTCATACGCTGCACCGTCCCCTCATACGCTGCACCGTCCCCTCATACGCTGCACCGCACGCTCATACGCAGCACCGCACGCTCATACGCTGCACCGCACGCTCATACGCCGCACCGCCCGCTCATACGCCGCACCGCACGCTCAAACGTTGCACCGCACGCTCATACGCTGCACCGCACGCTCATACGCTGCACCGCCCGCTCATACGCTGCACCGCCCGCTCATACGCTGCACCGCACGCTCATACGCTGCACCGCCCGCTCAAACGCTGCACCGCACGCTCAAACGCTGCACCGCACGCTCATACGCTGCACCGCACGCTCATACGCTGCACCGCCCGCTCATACGCTGCACCGCCCGCTCAAACGCTGCACCGCACGCTCAAACGCTGCACCGCCCGCTCATACGCTGCACCGCACGCTCATACGCCGCACCGCACGCTCATACGCCGCACCGCCTGCTCATACGCTGCACCGCACGCTCAAACGTTGCACCGCACGCTCATACGCTGCACCGCACGCTCATACGCTGCACCGCACGCTCATACGCCGCAACGCCCGCTCATACGCTGCACCGCACGCTCAAACGGTGCACTGCGCGCTCATACGCTGCACCGCCCGCTCACACGCTGCACCGCACGTCATACGCTGCACCGCCCGCTCATACGCTGCACCCCGCCCGCTCAAACGCTGCACCGCCCGCTCATATGCTGCACCGCCCGCTCATACGCTGCACCGCACGCTCATACGCTGCACCGCACGCTCATACGCTGCACCGCACGCTCATACGCTGCACCGCCCGCTCATACGCTGCACCGCACGCACATACGCTGTACCGCACGCTCATACGCTGCACCGCCCGCTCATACGCTGCACCGCACGCTCATACGCTGCACCGCACGCTCATACGCTGCACCGCACGCTCATACGCTACACCGCCCGCTCATACGCTGCACCGCCCGCTCATACGCGGCACCGCCCGCTCATACGCGGCACCGCACGCTCATACGCTGCACCGTCCCGCTCATACGCTGCACCGCCCGCTCATACGCTGCACCGCACGCTCATACGCTGCACCGCCCGCTCATACGCTGCACCGCCCGCTCATACGCTGCACCGCACGCTCATACGCTGCACCGCACGCTCATACGCTGCACCGCCCGCTCATACGCTGCACCGCCCGCTCAAACGCTGCACCGCCCAATCAAACGCTGCACCCCACGCTCAAACGCTGCTGAGCCCGCTCATACGCTGCACCGCACGCTCATACGCTGCACCGCACGCTCATACGCTGCACCGCCCGCTTACACGCTGCACCCCCCGTTCACACGCTGCACCGCCCGCTCACACGCTGCACCGGGCGCTCACAAGCTGCACCGCACGCTCACACGCTGCACCGCACGCTCATACGCTGCACCGCCCGCTCATACGCTGCACCGCCCGCTCATACGCTGCACCGCACGCTCATACGTTGCACCGCACGCTCATACGCTGCACCGCACGCTCATACGCTGCACCGCACGCTCATACGCTGCACCGCACGCACATACGCTGTACCGCACGCTCATACGCTTCACTGCCCGCTCATACGCTGCACCGCCCGCTCACACGCTGCACCGCCCGCTCAGACGCTGCACCGCACGCTCAGACGCTGCACCGCACGCTCACACGCTGCACCGCACGCTCACACGTTGCACCGCACGCTCACACGTTGCACCGCACGCTCACACGCTGCACCGCACGCTTCACACGCTGCACCGCACGCTCACACGCTGCACCGCACGCTCATACGCTGCATTGCACGCTCATACGCTGCACCGCACGCTCATACGCTGCACCGCCCGCTCACACGCTGCACCGCCCGCTCACACGCTGCACCGCACGCTCACACGCTGCACCGCACGCTCACACGCTGCACCGTACGCTCACACGCTGCACGGCACGCTCACACGCTGCACGGCACGCTCACACGCTGCACCGCCCGCTCACACGCTGCACCGCCCGCTCACACGCTGCACCGCACGCTCACACGCTGCACCGCACGCTCACACGCTGCACCGCACGCTCACACGCTGCACCGCACGCTCACACGCTGCACCGCACGCTCACACGCTGCACCGCACGCTCACACGCTGCACCGCCCGCTCACACGCTGCACCGCCCGCTCACACGCTGCACCGTCCGCTCACACGCTGCACCGCCCGCTCATACGCTGCACCGCCCGCTCATACGCTGCACCGCCCGCTCATACGCTGCACCGCCCGCTCATACGCTGCACCGTCCGCTCATACGCTGCACCGCCCGCTCATACGCTGCACCGTCTGCTCATACGCTGCACCGCCCGCTCATACGCTGCACCGTCTCCTCATACGCTGCACCGCACGCTCATACGCTGCACCGCAGGCTCACAGAGAAGAGCGACAGCTGATTAGCCAAGAGGTGGCAAGTGATGGCCAGGGCTGTTGAAGCAAGCTCAGCGTCGCTCAAACTCCCAACAGTGCCGGTGGGTCTTGCAGGCACCTATGAGACTATCACAATAGCACATACATGCAGCATGGAGCAAAGCCAGCTCACCTCGTGCAGGGGCCACTGGCCGGAGAAAAGCCACCTCACCTCGTGCAGGGGCCACTGGCGGTGCATCTTGACCTCCTCCAGCACGTCAGGGTCCTTGGCCATGCGCACACTCGCCCGCCCCAGCGTCTTCTCAGTCGGTTGCAGCTTCGCCACCAGCAGCAGCCGCTGCGTCACGCGCCGCCACCGCTCCCGCGGCCCCACCTTGGCCCCGCCGCGCTCCGCCTCCCCTCGCACGCTGTGCGGTGGGCGCAGGCGGCCATCTTGGTCGAAGAGAGAGGAGCCGGCGGTGCCCTCAAAGACAAAGTCGGCAAAGAAGTGCTGCGAGCGCCGCCTCAGTTCCATGCGCCCTCCTAGCTTGCGCTTGGCCGTCACCATTATGCACGGCAGACTCGTTATCACCTCATCGTCGGACTCGAATCGCAGACCCAGCTGCACCCCACTCGACCGCACAGCCACCTCTCCTCCCCCACCCGCCCCCGCGCCTGTCCCTCCTGCCCCTGCCGCGCCCTCCTGGGCGCTCTTGTGCTCCTCCTGCAGCATCGCCACCTCCTCCAGTAAATCCTTCTCCACTCGTATCTCCCCTCCCTCCTCCCCCGCCCCCCCCTCCCTCCCTGCCGCCGCCACTGCCGCCGCTTTCACGCGCACCTCTCTCCCCGGCTACCCCTCGCTGCCCTCCTCCTTCCCCCCTGCGCCCGTGCCTTCCGCGCCCTCCCTCCCCGCACCTGCCGGCTTGCTGGCGTCGAGGGCGGGGCGGCACATGGCGTCATCGAAGCGCAGGTGGGGGCGCAGGCGGAAGCGGCGGCGCTGGGCGTCCTCACTCTTGTCCAGCTTCCACCGCTGCACCGCTGCTGACACAGGGGGCGTGGCGCCAGGCGAGAGGGCGGAGAGCGAGGAGGAGGAGGCGGAGGGCGAGGGGGGCGAGTACCAGGGCCCTCGCTCGCTCGTCATCTCCCGATACAGCTGCTCCCACACGGCCTTCACGCGCTCCTGCTGCTCGTCGTACGCGATGCGGGCGGCAGCGCGGCGGCGGCTGTCAGCGTGCAGCAGGTCGGCGAGGGCGATGCGCTGCAGCTCCTGGAAGGCGCGCTGCTGCCGCACCCTCTGTGCCCTCAGTGCCTCGTGCGCCTGCCGTGCGTGTGACAGCTCCGCATCCCACTGCGCCACCGCTGATAGCATGTGCCCTATCTCCTCCTCCACCTGTGGGGGGGAAGGGGGCGAAGATCACAAGAGGGCGGTTAAGCAAAGGAGGGTAGAAAGGCAGGCAGGGCTCAGGGGTATGCACAAGATGGGAGGTGGCATGTTGCTCAAAGCTCCATGCATTCGAGCTACAACTCAAGGCTAGCTGCTCAGAGCAGCAGGGGCACGTGGGTGGCACTCACAGCAGCGTCGACGCGCTGCTGCTGCACGAGGTGTCTGGCGGCCTCCAGGTCGTCATCCTCCTCCGACCCCGAGCTGCTCGGCGTGGCACGCATTGACCCCTTCATGGGCTGCGCGAACACAGCAGCAGCCGACACCACCACGTCGTGCACGCCCTGCGCGATCACCTCCCCGCGCGCCCCCTCCTCCATGTGCCCCACGGCCTCGTGCGCGTGCAGCAGCGACCAGAGGAAGAGGTGGAAGCGGTTGCGGTGCCAGTCGCTGTTACCATCGCTGCCGTCCGCCAGCATGACGGGCACGAGCACTGTGAAGTGGTGCAGGCAGCGCTGCAGCGCGTCTAATTCCGCATCGTACACGTAGAGCAGCACGAGGCGGAACACCACGCGCGGACACTTCTCCTTCCCCAGCTGCTCCAGCCGCTCCTCCGTGCTGCACCCCCAGTGGCCGCCCCCGTCGCCCTCCAGAGCTGCGTCTAGGTCCGTGCGGGAGGGCGAGGGCGGGGCGAGGGCGCGCAGGCGGGAGAGGGGGAGGGCGGTGGTGGAGGCGGAGCGGGGGAGCGAGCGGAAGAGGCCCGCAGAGAGGGCGGCGGCGGCGTCGGCCTTGTTGTGCAGCAGGGCGAGCAGCGCCCAGAAGCCATCGTATGCCTTCCACCTGAACTCACTGTCGTCCGCCTGCAGTAGCCTGAGGGGCAGGACAAAGAGCGCAGTGGGAAGATGGGAGCGATGAGTTCTGGGGGACAAGAGGAGCAGTGCGGCAAGGCGAGTGCAGCACATATTCACACCCATCTTCATCCATCCCCACTCACGTCCACCCCTCACCCCCGTGCACACGCCCGCATGCAAAGCAGCGACTCACTGATCCCAAAGGTGCGACCTCTTGTCCTCCTCCGCTCTGCCACCCCCTTCCCTCGCCTGCTCCTCCCCTTCCGCCCCCACTGCTACCAGCTGCCCCTCCACCACTCTCGCTGCCACACCCCCCTCCATAGACGCCCCTCCTTCTCCCGCTCCACTGGAGTCCCCAAGGTCAACGCTGCAGTCAACCAGGTCAACGCTGGTCGTCAGCAAGTCAGCCTCCCCAGGGCTGCGCGCACCCTCCACGTCCAGGCTCATCGTGCTGAACCGCTCTGCACCGCTTCCCTCCTGTGCACCGGCAGCGGTAGGGGTGAGAAACCCCCTGTCAGCGCCACCCAAGGGACTCATGCCAGGCGGGGTCAAGGGCACTGCTAGGCCTGGCGGAGTGAGTGGCCGCATGGCACCATCGCCCCCATACAGCCCCCCACTCCCTCTCTGCCCGCCCTGCCCTGCTCGTCCCCCCATACCCTCCTCCTCCCCCTCATCCCCCTCATCCCCCTCGTCCCACGCCCCCACCACTGCCCTGTGCGCCCCCCAGCGCATGGACCCCATGGGTGCATGCGCCCATGTCAGCCTCCCCAGCCCCGCCCTCCCCCCATTCCCCCCATTGCGCCAGCTCCCCTCCATCTCCCCGTTCCCCCTCCCCTCCCCCATCCCCCCCCGCCCCCTGCTCTGCCGGCCCTCTCCCCAGAGTGCTCCCCCACTGGTGTGCCAGAGGGGGGGCGAGGAGGAGTGGGGCGGGGAGAGGGGCGTGGAGGGCGCGTGGGCGGCGTGGGGGGCGTGGGAGCGCGGCGTGGTGATGCCTGCTAGCCCGTCCACCGCCTCCCCCACGCCCGCTGTCATCAGCTCCTTTGCCTGGGGGGGGGAGGAGTTGGGGATGTGGGGAGATTTTTGGGTGAGGAGAACTCGTGATGGGGGAGAATTGAATGGAAAGAGCACAGGAGGTTGGCGGGGGAGAGTGGTGGGCGAGTGCGAGCAATAGGGACTGGTGTGAGGCGGAGGGGTGAGTGAGTGGGAGTGTGCAGGCAGGAAGGGTGGCTCACAGGGAAGATGTGGCGCGAGTCATGCAGGGCGAACTCGTCAATAAGTGCAAAGAGGAAGAGACAGTTGTTGCGCGCAGCATTGCCCCGTGAGGAGAGGCCTGATTGCACGGTGATGAGCTCCGCCAGCAGTGGGCGCAGCACCAGGTGGTATGGCAGCTTGCCCTGCCAGTGGGGTGGTTTAAGAAGGGGGGAGGAGGGAGAGAATGGAGATGAGAAAGACGGAGACTGACTGCGTAACTGCATGGAAGGGCACGAGCGCAAGGTGGCATCACGCAGTGCACGTTCTGCTCACCTGCTGGGCGAACATGCGGAGGGCACCAACGGTGTCAGCCACGTGCTGCCAGCCGGTGCTGCTGTGCTGCAGTGCGTGTGCGTGCGTGGCCAGCAGCAGCCGCCGCACCTGCTCCCACACCACCTCCGCCTCCTCCAACTCCTCCTCCCCCACCTCCCCCTCGCTGCCCCGCCCCCCCTTCCTTGCCCCACTCCACCCGTTTGCTGCCTGCGGCCCTTTGCCCTGTGCACCGCTGCTGCTCGTGCCAGTGGGAGTGGTAGTGGCGGTGGCAGTGGCGGTGGTGGTGGCGGTGGGGGGGGAGGGCGGGGAGAGGCGTGAGCGCATGAGCGCCAGCAGTGCCATCAGATCCACCTGCCATCCCTTTTGCTGTTGGGTGGAGGAACAGGAGAAGGGCAGAGGGAAACATGTTAGGCAGCTTGACGAGAGGCTGGTGCGAGCACTGCTGGTTGCAGCAGCAGCTTTAGAACAAGATGAGAGCCGGGAATGCACATGCACACGTCTGTTCCCTGGCCCCTTGGATGAGTCTCGCACCCACCTGCAGCAGCAGGCGGGGGTTGACAGCGTTGCCCACAACGAGGTCCGCCAGCTCCTTCATGGCCGCCCCCGCCACGCCCCACCATTTCCCCACCTCCGCCGTTCTTCCTGCTCGAATCGCGCCCCTAGGCAGGCCGTTTTTCCTCCCCGAATCGCGCCCCTAGGCTGGCCGTTTTTCCTGCCCTGCCCTGCAGCCCGCGTGCTGCACTGCCCTACCCTGCCCTGCTGCCCGCACGCCCTGCAGCCTGCGCGCTGCCCAGCCTGCGCAGCCCTGCAGCCCGCGCGCTGCCCTGCCCTGCAGCCCGCTCGCCGCCCCTGCAGCCCGCGCGCCGCCCTCTGGCAGCCCGCTCGCCGCCCTTTTGCTGCCCTGCTTGCGCTGCCCTGCTTGCGCCGCCCTGCTGCTGCTCCTGCTCGTGCTACTGCTGCTGCTGGTGCCGGAGGTGATGGACCTACCACTGACCGTCACTGCCTGTCATGGCGACTATCAAGACAGTTGCAGCGGCTAGGGGTGGACAGCGGCGGTCACTGCCTCTCCCGGACGACCCCACCCCTCAGCAGCTTCGCGAGTGGGTTCTTGAGCGAGCCCGTCCAGGTGGAGGAGGCTTTGGTTTTCTACGTACTGCACAGAGGCGGCAGCACAGTCAGCAGGTGACCTTCTTCCCGCAGGTGCTTAGTGAGTTGTTTCCTCAGCGATCTGTCACTGGTTCTGTCGAGGCTGCTGCACTAGGTGCTAGTGAGTCGGCTGCTCCGCTAGGTGCTAGTGAGTCTGCTGCCGCACTAGGTGCTGGTGAGTCTGGTGCAGCTTTAGGTGCTCGTGCGTCTCCCGCCACAGGTACTTCCTCAGCTGAGGCCTTGCACACTTTCACACTTGACTCAGGCGCGTCACGTTGCTTCTTTCGTGACTACACCACACCCACACCACTTGCTGCACCAGTACCGGTCTCACTGGCTGACCCCACTGGGGACCCAGTAGTCGCACGAGCCTCCACTGTCCTCCTGTGTCAAGCAGTCCCCTCCGGTTCTCTGTCAGGTCTCCTCCTCCCCACGTTCTTGACAAACTTGGTGAGCAACGCTGCCATTCAGGATGTCTGGGTTGACACCTTTATTCCTGGAGGGCAGCGTGTGGCGATATGTACGTGCTCCCAGACTGGCCGACACCTGGCTAAGTTCACTCGACGGCCTAGGTCTAGTCTGTACACATTGACCATTGCGTCTGCACAGGTGGCTGAGGCAGGTCAGGTGGCTGCGTCGAGTCAGGTGTCTGCGTCTGGTCAGCTTGCAACGTCTTGCTCGTGTCGGGTACTCTCCCACCAGACTCTCCTCTGGCACCACCGCCTCGGTCACCCCTCACTGCCACGTCTCCGCAGCATGCACTCCCGTCTCCTTGTCTCTGGCCTTCCCAGGTCCCTGCCCTCCCTCCCGCGCTCGCCTGCCCCGCCGTGCCTTCCCTGCGTCGAGGGGCGGCAGCGCGCCGCTCCTCAATCCTCCGAGTTTCCTTCGACCACTGCTCCTCTGCAGACTCTCTACATGGACGTTTGGGGCCCAGCCCCTGTCGGTGGAACGGACCAGGAGCGCTATTTCCTGCTGGTTGTTGACGACTACACGCGTTACACCACTGTCTTCCCTTTGCGGCGCAAGGCGGACCTCAGCGGTGTTTTGATCCCTTGGATCCATGCTACTTGTCGCCAGCTGCGCGAGCGGTTCAGTCGGGACTTCCCAGTCTTGCGTCTGCACTCTGACAGGGGCGGTGAGTTCTCTTCTGACTTCCTTGCGGAGTTTTGTCGAGACGAGGGCATCGTCCAGTCGTTCACACTTCGGGCCTCTCCTCAGCAGAATGGGATTGTTGAGCGTCGCATTGGCTTGATCATGGAGGTTGCTCGTACCTCCATGATCCATGCGGCTGCTCCCCATTTTCTGTGGCCGTTTGCGGTCCGATACGCAGCGCATCAGCTCAACCTCTGGCCCCGTGTGTCTGAGCCAGAGACCTCACCCACACTCCGGTGGATAGGGAAGGTTGGCGATGCGTCGGTGTTTTGGGTCTGGGGCGTGCTCTCCCTTGTTCGCGATGCCAAAGCGAGCAAGCTCTCCTCTCGCACTCTCCGCTGCGTCTTCCTTGGCTTCCCCACCGACGCCCCGCCGTGGCAGTTTTACCACTCTCGCTCGCGTCTAGTCTTCTCCTCCCAGGACGTCACCTTTGACGAGTCTGTCTGTTACTACAGGCTACACCCGCACGCGTCCCACCCGGTCCCCCTAGCGCCTCTTTTCTTGGTACCTGTCCCCCCCCCCAAGTAGACCCCCTCCCCCCACAGGGTCCTGCTCCCTCAGGTGTGTCTCAGGTAGACCCACCCCCCCTTGGTTGAGCCTTTGGAGATCTCTTCAGACTCCTCTGGCCGAGCTAAGGGGGGTGACCCTGCCGCTGACGACACGGCGGCCACTCGCTGCTCTCCACGCTTGGAGACCCCCCCTGGTTTTCCGCCTCGACCGTCTTCGCCGCCTCCTCAGCCTGCTGTTGTGGACTCTGGAGCTGAGACTGCTGGTGCTGAGCCTGGGGGTGCTGAGAAAGAGGGTGAAGGTTCTGGGGGTGCTGTGACTGGGGGTGCTGCAACAGGGGGTGCTGCGACTGGGGGTGCTGGTTCTTGGGGTGCTGCGACTGGGGGTGCTGACTCTGGGGGTCCTGCGCGTCCTAGTGGCGGTGGAGCTGTGGGTGACCCTACTGGAGGTCCTAGAGCTAGACAGCCACCGCAGCCTGACCTACTTGAGACGCTATCGCCGCAGGCGATTCGTGCGTGGATCGTTCGGCGAGGCCATCCTAGTGGTGGAGGGTACGGTCCTGCTGGTGCTGGAGCTACTAGTCTTGGAGGTACTGCGCCTACTGGAGGTACTAGACGTGTTGCTGGTGTTGGAGGTTCCAGAGCTACTAGTCCTGGAGGTACGGCTGGTGCCGGAGGTGCTGGAGGTGCTGCTGGTGCTAGAGGAACTAGAGCTGGAGGTACTGGAGGTGCTAGAGCTGCTGGTCCTGGAGGTGCTCGTACTGAAGGTGCTTGAGCTGGTGGTGCTGATGGAGCTGCTGGAGCTGGTGGTGCTGTTCGTGCTGGAGGTGCTGGAGGTATTGCTGGTGCTGGAGGCACTAGAGCTAGAGGTACTGGAGGTACTGGAGCTGCTGGAGCTGCTGGTCCTGGAGGTGCTCGTACTAGAGGTACTAGAGCTACCGGAGCAGGTGGTGCTGCTGGCACTGGAGGTGCTGAAGGTACTACTGGTGCTAGAGGTCTTAGCGCTGCCGGAGCTAGTGGTGCTGCTAGTGCTGGAGGTGCTGGAGGTGCTGCTGGAGCTGGAGGAGCTGGAGCTGCTGGTACTGCCCTGCGCAGACCGTTTTTCTACCCGCAGCCGTAGTCGTCCTTGCCGCCGCCAGACTCGGTCCTTCACCAGGTTCTTTGTCTCCCGTCTTCCATTGACCTCCCTCTACCCCTCCTGTATCCACCAACAGACCAGTCTCAGCCACAGCTACTGCCTGGCTCCCCGATGCCTGCGCTTGCTCCTCCCACTGAGGTGATTGAGTCCCTGATTGAGCGCCGTGAGCCTGAGACTCGTGCTTCCACACCTGTTTGTGCTCGTCGTGTCGCTTGTCCTCGTCCTCCTGCCGTCCCAGGCACTCACGGTATGGCACTTCTTCCTTCCTCTGTTCCACAGCGTGTTGTCCTGCCTGAGCCTCCCGCGTCCTCTCTTCCGCACGTTCCTGACCCTGAGTCTGACCTTGCTCGTACTGCCAGTCCTACTGTCACTCGTCTCCTCGCTACTGTCGTCACTGACCCTGACCTTGAGTCTACTGCAGCATTTGCCCTAGTCACTGAGCTAGTAGAATTTGCGGCTAGGAGTCGTCTCGACTACGTTGCGAGTCTTGTCACTGGGTCTGAGTCTGTCTGTCCTCCGTCTGTTGGGGGTGAGCTTGCCCTTGGCAGTGATGTACTTGGCTTCTTGGAAGTCCACAGGCACCTACGTCGATGAGGTTCCTCCTCCTGGGGCGAACATAGTCTGTCTGTTCTCCGCCTGACTTCAAGGCGCGTTACGTTGCTCGAGGCTTCAGTCAGCGACAGGGGGTCGACTTTTTCCATACCTTTTCCCCCACCCCGAAGATGACTATTCTTCGGGTGCTGCTGCACGTTGCAGCACAGCGTGATTACGAGCTGCACTGTCTCGACTTCTCCACAGCTTTCCTGTAGGGCAGCCTTCACGAGAATATCTGGCTGCGCCGCCCACTCGGCTTCACTGGGTCGTTTCCTGCGGGTACCCAGTGGAGCCTCCGGCGGCCAGTATACGGTCTCCGCCAAGCACCCCGAGAGTGGCACGACACACTGAGGACTACACTTTCGGCTCTTTGGTTTGCTCCTGCTACTGCTGACCCGTCGTTGTTTCTACGCACCGACACTACCCTGTCGCCGTTCTACGTTCTAGTGTTCGTCGACGACTTGGTTTTTGCTACTGCTGACACTGAGGCACTGGCCCTAGTGAAGGCGGAGCTACAAGAGTGACAAACCTGCACTGACCTGGGTGAGCTGCGTAGCTATCTTGGCTTGCAGATCACCCGGGACAGAGCACGGCGCACTATCACACTGACTCAGTCGCACATGGTGCACCACGTCCTTCAGCGCTTCGCCTTCCAGTTCTCCTCGCCATAGCCCACTCCTTTATCTAACGGCCACTCGCTCTCAGCTCCACCTTTGGACGAGTCCGTAGAGCCGAGTGGTCCGTACCCAGAGCTTGAAGGTTGCCTCATGTACCTGATGACGTGCACACGACCTGACCTCGCGTACCCTCTCAGCCTCCTGGCTCGCTACGTGGCTCCCGGTAGACACCGAAAGGTGCACTGGGATGCTGCGAAGAGGGTACTGCGTTACTTGTGCAGTACATCGGGCATGGGGCTAGTGCTTGGAGGACATGGTTAAGTGGTACTCACAAGACACTCCGATGCTTCTTGGGCTAACGACCAGGCGACTCAACGTTCGTCACAGGGTTACACCTTAAGTCTTGGCTCTGGTTCTATCTCATGGAGGTCCACCCGTTCTTCTTCTGTGCTTAGTTCCAGCTGTGAGGCCGGGATCTACGCTGGGGTCATGGCTGCACAGGAGCTACGCTGGCTGACCTACCTGATGACTGACTTGGGGGAGCGGCCTCGTTCTCCTCCAGTTCTGTACGTCGACAACAAGGCAATGCTTGCCTTGTGTCACAAGCAAAGACTGGAGCACAGAACGAAGCACGTTGCTCTTCGCTACTTCCTTGCGCGTGAGCTGCAGCAGCGTCGTCAGCTCCGCCTTTCCTACGTGGCCTCGCAGGCCAACACTGCTGATGTCTTCACCAAGGCCCTTGGGTCTGGTGATCATCAGCGTTTCTGCAGTGCTCTTGGGCTTGTGCCGACTCTGCCTCACCTGCTGGTTGCTTGACTTGCTCTTGTTGTACACTGATATATGTCTTTATACCTGCTTGTTTGCTTTTGCTAGGTTGTGATCAGTGTAATGCCTTGCTATTATAACTTTGCATGTGAACTGGCCTTGTGGCCGCTTGCTTGTGCTCGGATTGTGTGGTGTCCTTGAGATCCATCCTAAGCTTTCGCCAACCTGCTCTGGCCAACACTCGTTACAATCACAACAGGGTGTTGGGTTTAAGGCCTTGAACTTGAAACCAGCCATTCGAACAGAAAGAAACGACAAGTATAAATGTGCCAGCATTGCAGCCAACATTCACCACAACTGCTCGGCCAATGGCATCGAACCACTGCCTCACATTCGACGTAAGCACAAACTATTGAAAGCACGCTCGACATAAGCACCAAAACCGACTGCTGTTTTTGTATCTCCTAGTTACTTTTCTTCCATTTTCTTTCCGTCCTCAAGCTTACACAATCCAGCGTCAAGTCGATCCAAACGTCAATAAAGTTGCACAAACTCCCCACTTTCCCCCATTTTCCCTACACGTATGCATGAATGCATGCATGCATGCAGACACATGGGGAGAACCGTTTCCCATCAGCCAGCCATCGTGGGATGTCATCATTGCCAGTGACGTTCTGCTCTGTATGTGTAGATGCGGGTGTTATTTTCTCCCATGTCTCTTCTCATTTATACATTTTTACTACACGTACGCATGAATTCATGCACACTAATGCGCAACCATCGTGGGATTTCATTATCGCTAATGACATTCTGCTCTGTGCGTGTTCCATGTGTCGATCCGGGTGTCATTCTTTCCCCTGGGTTGTCTCAAGTTTCACATTCATTGTTTGAGATCATCATGTGTGTACTCTGATGAGCTTTGCATTGATCTGCCCTTGCTTCTCTATACACAAGATTTATTTATTTTATTAAAACAAAAATATATATACATATACATATTGTAAATACAATCTCCTGAGGCTCCTTAACAAGTGTGTGCCTCTCACGTCTCTCCATATTCACATGGGCCATGTGACTCATGTCTTGATCGCAGATGTGAAAGAATATCCCAACCTCGTCAAGACCCTCCGCTTCCTCCTCTTTGGCGCTCTGAAGCCTTCCCACACAGTACAAGGCAAAGCCTCTGTGAGAGGAGGGGAAGAAGGGTGTGTGGTAGAGGAGAGAGAACAGGCAGGTGGTTTTTTGGCAGGACTGGCTGCTTCTGAGGCTGCTGTGGTGGCAGGAGCAGCAATGGATGCAGGTGAGTTGGCAGCTGCAAAAGAAGCAGCAGTAGCAGAAGAAGTAGCAGAAGCAGCAGCAGCAAGAGACGCTGTAGAGGACACAGTTCCCAATGCAGCTGCTGCTGCCTTGAAGGAAGCAGGGATGGTTGTTGATGCTACTGCTCCTATAATGCAACCGCAGGGGAAAGAACGTGAGCCGGGCCGTGGAAATGCAAGGCAGCGAATGCAGAAGCAGCAGCGCTATAGGGGACAGGCGGCCGCTGATGTGGCGTTGACTCGGCCGTGTTTCGTGATGAGCTGGCGCAGGAGAATCCCGAGGGAGGATGAGGAGGGGTTTTTCAGGTTGTGTGAGGAGGCGGGAATGAGTGTGGAGGATCTCGGCTCTAGAGTGTTTTGTATTGCTCCCGTTGCACATGAAATTTGACCATAGTATTGTGTAGTAAGGTTATCGCTTTGCACGTTCTCGGGCTCTTCTAGATGCTTCAGATAATATGACGGGGGGGCTTCTGTATCTTGCAAGCAAAAAGCTACCGGCATGAATACTGAGGAGCTTCTGTTGCAATACTGTTTTGGTCATTGGGGCTGCACCGTGCATGCCTTGAGCTGTGTCATCAAACACAATTAATTAAACGTGATTATGTAACAATACAGGAGCCAGCAGAGTTTAGTTCACAAGCTGAAGCAGGGAGCTTATTGCATGCACCATCAGACTATGGTAATTATGCAGCACTCAGTATTCTTACCACCAAGGTCAAGCCAGACTGCTCTTTTCAGACTCAGGCTGCACATACTGAAAGCAGGCCTGGTTATCACAAACAGCTTGAGCCCTCTCCTCAATATTCTTCACACACTGGTGCCCCAAGCTGTCTCCATCCCCACCACACTCCCCACATTCACTAAACAACCTTCAAAAGCAGGCCCAGTTGTCACAAGAAGCTCTAGCCAGCTCCTCCCCACTGCCTTTCACACACTGGTACTGCCCCGAGCTGTCACCTTCACTAGACAATCGTCAGAAACAGGCCCAATTGTCACAGGAAGCTTGAGCCCTCTCCTCCTCAATACTCTTCACACAATGGTACTGCCCTGAGCTGTCTCCATTCAGAAACCCAAACACACTCCCCTTATGATCCACAACATACCCACACTTCACCTCTCCTCCACCCCCCTCTCCAACCCCTCTCCCATTCCCACCACGCTTACCACGATGCTCACCAAACTCAGCACTCCACTCTTTGTGCATACTGCCACACCCACCCCTTGTCCCTCTCTCAGGATCGCCAGCAACAGCTCCATCTGCTTCTGGTGCCCCATCACATGACAAGCCAGTGTAGCCGTTGTTCATATAGGTCCACGCAGAGGGGGTCTGCTGTTTCAAAAGCTCCGGATCCCTTTGAACCGCCTCAAAAGTTCCCCCATCCCCATCCCCATCACCATCACACGACAAGCCAGTATAGCCGTCATTCATGTAGCTCCACACAGAGGGTGTTTGCTGACTGAAGAGCTCTGGATCTTCCAGATTATCATTGCTGCTGCTACCGCCGTCGCTGCTGCCACTGCTGCTGCTGCTACTTCCACTCATCCTGATCCTGCTGCTGCCGCCGCTGCTGCTGCGGGTGCTGGTGCGATCGGGAGACTCGCTGGGGGAGTAGCTTCCTGCGGCCACGCTTCCACACCCCCCCACACCCCCAAGGACCCTGCCACTAGTTCCGAAAGAAGCATCGCTACGTGCTGGTGATGTAGATGGTACTGTTGTGGTGGACTGCGAGTTGTCGGAGATAATTTGCTCCATCGCCTCGTAGACCTGCAGAGGAACATTGGGCGACCCAAGAGGCAAGTGGAAACATAAAGGAACAGATAAAGAGGAACATAAGCAGCAGTGGCGGTTAAGGGGCAGTACAGCAACTCCCTGCTGTACGTGCTGAGAGAGTGGGAAAGAAGGGATGGTGACTGGTGACAATTGGATTGGTGACTGGTAACAATTGGATTGGTGACTGGTAACAATTGGATTGGTGACTGCACTGAGTGAGTGAGTGGGCGTTTGCGTGGGTGAGGAAGTGGGTGAGTAAACCTGGATTTGGCTATGCTGAGTGGTAGGAATTGGTATATATGACTGCGCTGCGGCAACACCCCTTACACCAGGTGCAACATGGGCCCTTTCGAAGAGTGAACATCGAGGCGCATACAAAAAAGCGAGGAATTGGCTTTAACCAGGGAGGAATGAGTGAGTGATCGAGTGAGTGAGAAAGTGAGATAATGAGAGTGTGACTGCCATGCGTCCTGCACAAAGTACCCACCAAGTGTAACTCAGTACCACGTGCAATGTACCATGCAGATGTAACGCATTCTGTCCTGTGTCATGTACGAGGTACCATGAAGATGCAACTCAGTGTCATCTGCAACGTACCATGCAGATGTAACGCATTCTATCCCGTGTCATGTGGCGCCCGCACGCATGTAAGATGTACTTCACTGAATCTTCCAATGTGGCCTTGCTGCTGATCTCTCGCACAAAGGGAGTCACTTGAAGTGCTGCCGAGCACCCCACAGACACCTGGGATGTTCAAACGGCAGAGATGATGCAGGGTGTTTTTGAGAACGCCTGCAAGATGAACTTCACAGCATGGTCCAGCCAGGCCTTGCTGCTGCTGTTTTGCAGGAAGGGAGTCACTTGAAGCGCTGCCGAGCACCCCACAGACACCTGGGATAGTTGCAAGGAGAAAGAATAGGGAGGATGGTGGCTGTGTTCACAGAATCGTCCAATCAGGCCAGAATCGTCCAATCAGGCCTACAAGGCAAGGGAAGTAAAGAGTTAAGCTTTGGGGACCGTCTCATAACGCATTTCTAGTCATTAGACAGACTAGGAGGCATGCAGCGGGAGCCGTGATGTGAAGAAAGCTTTCAAGGCAAGGCAGGTGAACTCTTAAGCTTTGGGGCGTCTCATAACGCAATTCTAGTCACCGATTTCGGTGAACTGTTAAGCTTTCGGTGAAAGCTGCGACGTGAAGAGAGCTTACAAGGCAGGTGAAGAGCTGAATAAAGAGCTCTCCAGGTGAAGAGCTGAATAAAGAGCTCTCCAGGTGAAGAGCCGAATAAAGAGCTCTCCAGGTGAAGAGCTGAATAAAGAGCTCTCCAGGTGAAGAGCTGAATAAAGAGCTCTCCAGGTGAAGAGCTGAATAAAGAGCTCTCCAGGTGAAGAGCTGAATAAAGAGCTCTCCAGGTGAAGAGCTGAATAAAGAGCTCTCCAGGTGAAGAGCTGAATAAAGAGCTCTCCAGGTGAAGAGCTGAATAAAGAGCTCTCCAGGTGAAGAGCCGAATAAAGAGCTCTCTAGGTGAAGAGCTGAATAAAGATCTCTCCAGGTGAAGAGCTGAATAAAGAGCTCTCCAGGTGAAGAGCTGAATAAAGAGCTCTCCAGGTGCTCCAGGCTCCTTGCCTTCTGAGTCAGAAGTCACTTTTGAGTCGACTCAAAAGTCACCAAGAACAGGATGCATGAGAGGGGGCTTACGAGGCAGGTGAAGAGCTGAATGAAGAGCTCTGATGGGCTGATGCTCTCCAGATACTCCAGGCTCCTTGCCCTGTTGGCCGCTCAACGGAAATAAAGGTGAAAGGAGGAGAATAATAGAGACAAAGTTGAATTGAATTGATGCGGGAACATGCGGGCTGGCGATTTGACATGCGCACAAACATTTCAACAGGAGCGCAGATGGAGCAACACTCACCCAGCCTCACACTCATCGAAGAGAGGCGGCTGCAGGAGGGCTGGCATGGGCTTGGCTTCACTCCAATACAGTCTCCACTTGTTGTCTGCATGTCAAGAATAACAGGCAGGTGCAACATATGCACAATAATAGACGAGTGGGTTGAATGACTGACTGCACAGATGCAACGCTTGTTCCCCATGTCGTCCTTGCTCCAGTGGAACTTCCACCTATTGCCTGCTGATCAGAATAGCAAGCTGGTGTTCCTTGAATGAGTGATTTGCCAGCACGGATACACCATCTTGACAAGTTGGTTCTTGAAGTTTTCAAAGAGCACCACCTGTGCTCTGTGTCCTCCCCAATACTGTGCCTGCATTCCACACCTGCTGTCTGCACGATATAAAGGCGCAAGGAAGGTGCGCTTGGAATCTCCATCCCCGGATACCTCACCCCGTGCTGACCAGATGCGAGGGCTGACACGACGCACCTGGCCCTGACATGAAAGTGCTAAGGTACAGCTGTCGCACGTGGGCCACTGGGCCTGTGATGAAGACAAGGTAGGGATGACATACCTGGGCCCGACATGCGTGTGCTCAGGTATCCAATCTTGCTGCGCTCTCCCTTTCCTCCCTCACACCCGCCTTCCTCGCTGGAACCACTCTCCTCCCCTCCTGCTTCCCCTTCCGCTCCTCCTCCCCCTCCTCCCTCTGCTGCTCCCCCTCCTCCCATTCTGGTGGAAGGAGCATCACTGGACCAGTCAGCTGGTGAGTACCATCTCACAAAGTCCTCCAGTATGCACCCCGGATTTGCAGCCTGCACAGGCAGGAGCAAAGCACTTGAAACTCATGTAACACGAATAAGTGCGGCTTATGACATTGCACTTGCTTGGTTAAACTCGTGCCACAGAAAGAAAGAAAGAAAGTAAGCAAGAGAAAAAACTGTCTTTTTCTGGGCGCTCTGAGGCGTACCTTGAATGCCTGCATGTCTGAAAAAAGCCTCTTGTGAGCGATGTTGAGACTGCATGGTTGCGGCATACACACAGGCACACACAGACACGGAGACACAGGCACACAGACAGAGGCACAGGCACACACAGACACGGAGACACTCAGACAAAATGACAAGCGTTATTTTGTAGATTGGTCTCTGCTAGAGCCAAGCTCCGAGTGTACACCTGCCAGTGTGGATGGCAGCCCCTTGCAGCTCTGCCAGGTACATGCTAGTCATCAGCGAGGTGACTTTTGAGTCGACTCAAAAGTCAGCTCTGCCAGGTACATGCTAGTCATCAGCGAGGTGACTTTTGAGTCGACTCAAAAGTCAGCTCTGCCAGGTACGTGCTAGTCATCAGCGAGGTGACTTTTGAGTCGACTCAAAAGTCAGCTCTGCCAGGTACATTCTAGTCATCAGCTGCCCATCCTTCCCTGCACCCCTGGCACGCACATGCACAGCCCGGAGTAGCCTAGCTTCCCAGACACGCAATTTCCCAGAACACAGCTCACAACCAGCCCACAGTAGTCTAGCCTTTCAATGCCCACCTGCCCGTGTGCATGACCGCTTCTTCCAGCTCTGCAAGATACATGCTGGTGATCAGCGGCCCATCCTGCACCTCTGGTACGCACATGCGCGCCCCCGTCACCAGCAGCCGCATCCCTCCCGACTCGCCTCCAGATTCTTCTCCTGCCCGCCCTGTGGGAGGAATCCCAGTCTCAGTCTCGGTCCCAGTCGGGTCAGGAAACTTCCCTGTCGCAGCTGTTTCAGATGCGTCTGGGAAGCAGGCCCAGGAGCAGGGGTCATTCTGATCACTCAGCACACACCCGATCTCCTCAGCAGAACGCCTGGGGGATCCGCCTTTGGGCGACCGGCAAGGCGGTGATTCCAGGGGTACTTCTAGCAGCACTTCGCACAGATTATAACTCCCACACGTCTTGCACAGCGTCGGCTCGAACCTCCCGAAATCCCCAGCAGCCGTTTCCGAAAAGAAGGGGAAGCAGTCCGGCTGCTGCAGGTGCGCGTGCTGCAGGTGCCTCTGAATGTCGGTGCTGACTCGTGCCTTGCGCCACCGCTTCCTGGCCACGGCGCAGTTGAGCACCTGCCACTGCTGCAGCACGCCACACACCCCCACGTCTGGCCCCTCCCTCTCTGCGTACACGTGTGGGATGGCGATTCCCTCTTCCCACCGATCCCGCACCTGCAAAGCACGTAGATATTGATGTGTTGAGGCACGGAAAAGTGAATTTGGTGAGGTTAGATAGTGGGGAATTCATGTGCTGAAGGTGCTCCTGAATGCCTATGCTGGTTCCGGGCCACGGCGCAGTTGAGCACCTGCCACTGCTGCAGCACGCCACACACCCCCACGTCCGGCCCCTCTCTGTCTGCAAAAACATGAGGAATGGCGATTCCCTCCTCCCACCGATCGCGAACCTGACGTGCGTTGGGGATCGGTGAGGGATGGGAAAGAGGAATTAGACAAGGGTGGGAGAAAGACAGAGGTAAAAATGTGTGGGATGGAGCTCGCCTCCTCCCAACGATCTCCGACCTGCCTCCTTGGTGCGAAGTGGGAGTGATTGGACGTTTTGTCTAACCATTCTGAGATAAAAAAGTGCCCTGAAGTCGTCAAATCGTCACACAACTGGCAAGATTTTTTATTACACTGTAGATATCAGAAAATTAAACTGTCTCAACCAGGAAGGCATAACTCGTGAAGAAGTCAGCCTGTTTTCTGGATTTTGAAAACAGGCCTACACGTCACAGTGATCCCAGTCCAAGAATGCACACATACCTCATGCACACATACCTCATGCACACATACCTCATCCACACATACCTCATGCGCACACACCTCATGCGCACTCACCTCATGCGCACACACCTCATGCGCACACACCTCATGCGCACAGACTTAACCGCACGCATACCTCTTGCATGACTTCAAGCCATAGGCGAGCCATCTCTTCAGGCGAGCCAATCCCCGCCATCAGCTCGCCCAGTCGCACAGCCAGGCTCCCAGCAGGAGCGCCGTGCAGGGATTTCAGCACCACCTTTCCGTACGACCCAGCAGGTGAACCGCACGCCGTTGATGGCGATCCAGGTGGAGCGTTCAACGGTCCAGATGCGTTGCTGAGAGAGATCTCGCGAAGGGGAGGGAGGGAGATCCGGTCCTGGTCCAGGTCGGTGTCCTGGAAGCAGCAGCCGCGGTTGCTTATTGGAGAGCCGTTGGATGAGGAGAGATGAGAACCGTTGGATGAGGAGAGCTGAGAGCCGTTGGATGAGGAGTAGTGGTTGGAGTTGGGGGAGAAGTTTGTGAGGGCGCGCCAGCAGCCGCAGGTGAATGCATCCATTTCCCCTGCTAGCAGTATGAGAGAGAATACACCGGAACGGAACAAGCAGATTCTCATCTATGATGAGGAAACATATGTGCAGGACAGGAGATTTAGACGCGTGGATTGGATAGGACAATCATAAAAGCTGCTTCTCAGGCTTAGGATAATACCTTCTGACGGAGGGAAAACGGGAGCAATAACTAGCAGGTAACAAAGAACATCTGCAAGAAACGTCTGGTCAGCCTCCTCAGGAAAAGGTGGATAACAAAAAATGTCATGGCTCGTTGTCAAGGCACCTGATTTGAAGAGAATCCGAACCGCGTCCTCGTTTGAGCAATCCGAGAGGGAAGCTTCTACAGGGGGTGTTTCCGGTGTGGTAGCAACAGGGAGCCACGAGGAGCCGTTCAGGGTCTTCTCAACAGCACGGAACAAGACGCCAGAGGGAGAGTAGATACTGTCTGCTAGCTCCTTCACGGATGTGTACGGTTCCGCGTCACTGTAGAAGCAAAAACATCGATAACATGCAAGTTAAGAGAAAAACAGAATCATTAAACAAAAATCGAAGCTTACCTGCCGGGAAAGAACAAAAGAACAAAAGTTAGCAACTGACCGGACGGCGTTTGCCAGGTTTCGCAGGAGGAAAGCACTCGGCGCGCTGCTGGCGACAGTGTCCAAGACGTCGTGCTTCTTCAGAGAGTATTGCAGCGCCTGGCTCGCTGACCTTATCTGCCGCTCCTGCACAGTCGAATTCCGCATAAAGCTCAGAATCTTTCACATATTCGGATACTGGAAGATGACGTACAATGGGGACTTGAAGTTGACGGATTGCGTGGAAGATAACGACGTACCATTTGTTCGGAGGTCCATCCCGGGTAGCGTTCAATGGCGTCAACTGTCCTGAAGTATCGTTTCCAGAACTCCTCGTGGCTGAGCATCACTGGGACGAACTCCGCGTGAATCTTCAGCAACTCATCGTCCCTCTGCATCACCAGAAATACACATTCCTTATCCATGTTCACAAAAACATACGAGCTCGCCTGAACAAGTTTCATGCGGACGGATAAGCTAGTAATAAGTACCTTGAGAGCGGACTCAATGGCGGAGTCAGTCGGCATGTTGTTCGTTGTCCAGTCTTGGTCGGTGCACCAAAGAAAATCCAGCGGCCACTGCGAGCGAACCCACAGGATTGTTTATCATACGACGTCGTAACGAGAGAGTAGTTGTACGAAAGGAATCGTGACAAGAGCGACATCTTTCCAATGTCGCAGTGATTACCTTTGAAAGGTCCTCCGACAACCGGGAGTCCATATTTTATTCGTGCCAATCAGTAGTCGAAAGCTACGCGAAAAGGTTACCACCCGGAGGAAAATGATGATACGTTCTCGGACAAAGCTGGCCGCGTCTTACTCGTAACAGTTAGGGAGACTCAATATACTATCCAAAAACCACTGCGAGGGGTGAAGGCGTCAAAGAATCGCTAGCACTGGCGAGGTAGGTGAACAGAAAGGCTAGAACCAGACTCCTCTCAACTACGAAAGCAGCAAGCTGAGTAGCTCCAGGGCACTCCAAGACACAACTTCACGGTCCAAGAATCGAAACGCAGGCACAATGAAACCAAAACCAGCTCTTCGCAGCGAAGACACTGCGAGTCCCGCAAGCTTGACGTCGCCATGCGCAGTCCTCTGCGATGAATGAACGTCCGCAAGGCCCGCTCAGGCTCTCTGGACCTCCGCTCCAGAATCCAGAGGCACCAATAATTGTCCAACAAGGGAAACACCGTCTGAAGCACTGAACGCGAATCCTTCAAAGCTTCCTTCCAGCTGCACACCATCTGAACTTGCAAGCAGATCGGGAGCGCGCTGTTTTCAATGGGGGTTTGTCACGGTCTGATTCGGTTTCCTGAGTTCTAGCATGGTATCCGCTGAGAATCTGAACATGCTGACCAGGGGCGCGGTTGATTGGACGAAAACAGCCGCTGTAGAGGCTTGGGGTGGGATGGGGAAGGGTTCGAAGGCACTGAACAGATCTTCTGGCCGACGGGATTGTCGCCTCCAGTTCTGCCAGCGAACCTGACAACCAGGCGAGCAATGTGGTCCGCCACGCGCGTTGCTTTGGTTGGATGGGGGCCCCTGGTCGTTGATGGATTGACCACGAGTGCCGTGTGTTGCGGTGAGCTTTGAAACGAGGGAGGAAGTGTACACGCAACATATATGATGCTATAGTTCATTTCGAAGAAATCCAGCACTCCAATTGCACTTCTAAATACCAGACTCACGACCTGGTCAAGTAATAAAAAAGTAAAAGTGAACCAGTCCTACTAGTAGAGAGCTACTATATCAAGGCAACGGGAAGCTATAAGCATACAGTAGCAGCATCCCCATACGAACTAACCGAAGGAACTGCAGATGAAGGCAAAACAGCTAGGCCCAGAAGTAGCAGCATAACCACAACTGGCAGCAGCAGAATAGCACTTGGAGGCGCTCCGAGATTAGGAAGCAGTATTGGCACGACCAGCAGCAGGAGGAGAAGCACACAGAACGCCACTTTGGCCTGCCATGTCAAAGCCGCAACAAAGCCGGCTTTTGACTCCTGAGCAAACACACCCTCCATACTTCCATTTTCCGCCACTCTTAGCACAGCACTTGCCCCTCCCATTGATGTAACAGTACTACCTGATCCTTTCCTGCTGGAATCACGAAGACTGCTCGCGCGATTAACACCGTCTGTGGTCCCACGCAGCACAGCATGTGATCCGTCGCCAGCCAATGGCAGTTCAGCTGGTGGGTCTGAATAGACACGATTGTAACGATAGCCGTTCCTTTCCCCGGAAATGCTTCGTTGAGGCGAGGCGTGACCAGAAGTTACTGGTGATCGAACCTGTCGCTGCGAAACCCTAGTAGCATCATTTGGTGAGCCATTTTTCGTAAGAAGACCCAGATTACGGCGGGAAAATATGTCAGGAACGTGGCGCGCTGCAGATTCTTCGCGCGACGAAACCCGGGAAATGTCGGAAGCAGTAGCGCGAGAATCTGAGAGGCCGCTATGTGCTCCAGTCGATCTCGACCACTTGCCAGCCTTACCACCACTTAGCCGCTCCGTTTGCTCCTCCATTAGACTAATCACGGGCTGGTAGTAATGCGGCTGATAGCTAGAAGCAGGACCTTTACTGTCAACCATTGAAAGGGTCTGAGAGGTGTGGCAACTCGAAGACGTCGAGATTCCGAGGAGAAAAGGTTATCTTAGAATAGAAGAGGTGGTGCTTCTGACTGACGGACATAGGAACTTGGGTTGGAGTGGAGAGCTCGATTCGACGAACGCGTGGACACTATCTCAGCCATAAACGGCAGCAAGGGGGGTGATGCTAGTGAGGTGTTCGGCAGCAGAGCAAGCACTCCTCTGACTCCGATAATCCAATGATATGATCCTCCGAATATATCTCAGCGGACAAGCGAGGCAAACAAAATAAAACCGATTCGGGCATGCATCCGGTCAGGGAGGCATCAACCCTAAACACAGGGAGGCATGGAGGGGGAGGCGTGCAGGGGGCTGAGGGGGGCGTGGTGGGCGAACACTGTGCTCGTGCGGTGAGGCATCTGGGTGAGGAGTGGGGGAGGGAAGGGGAAGATGTGGATGTAAGAGGTAATGGAGGGTATGGCCGGGAGGGCACCTGCAAGGAGCAAGAGCACCTGTTCTCACGTGCCACAGCAGCCACACACAGTTTCCCTCTGATGCACAAGGTTGGGACTCACGGGTTTGGGGAGGGGGCGGGCGAGGAGGAGGTCGAAGAGGATGGAGGGCATGAGGGGCGTGACACGGCACGCGCGCTGCACCATCAGCTGCAGCGCCACGCCCACCATCGCCTCCGCCTGCTCCACGTCCTCCCTCACCCGCTCCCCTCCCCCCCCATGCCCTGGCGACGGCAGCGCGCCCCCTGAGAGAGCAGAGGAGGAGGGGGAGGGCGAGGGCGTGTGCAGCAGGGCAGCTGCTACTAGGTCGTCAGGGATGGGCGCGGGGGTGGCGGAGAGCAAGGGGGAGGGCGCGGGGGAGGAGGAGAAGGCGCGGATGAGGCGCAGGCGGCGCTCTGCCTGCAGTGCCGTGATGAGACGCAGGCCCAACGACTGCAGATCCTCCTCTGGCCTGCGGGGGGTGAAGCGGACCGTGCGGGCGGGGTGCAAGGAGAATGGGAGAGACGATCAGTGGGAGAGAGGGGAGAGTGAACTTGGAGGAAAGAGAGACGTGGGAGCAGAGGGAGAGAGAGTAAAGGCGGAGAGGGAGGTGAGGGCAAGGCAGTGATGCAGTTTGCCTTGCAGCAAGCACCACCAATGCTACCCTGACTGAGGGGTATGGACCTGGAGAGGAGGTACTAACCACGCGAGGAGGAAGAGAACGGACCTGGCGAGGAGGTTGAGGAAGAGGTGGCAGCCGGTGAGGGAGTAGACGTGTGAGGTGAAGGAGGCGAGCAGAGGCGGGCGCGAGAGCAGTGAGAGCAGCGCGAGCAGCACGTCGCGCACACTGGGGGCGTCCTTGCTGCCCTCCAGGAAGGCCGTTAGCGCCCTCACATCAGCCAGTGAGAAACCATCCCTGGTGGTGGGGAGAGCAGGAGAGGACAGGCCCACACACGGGATGCATGCATTGATGGCAGGGCATATGGAGCAAGATGGAGTATAGCACGCTCAGCTGAGAGCACTGGGGCCCCACTCATTCACCCTCCCTCTCTGGCTACCCCACGCACCCTGACCTGCCGCCTCACCTCACACTGTACTCCGCCAGCCTCAGCAGCAGCAGCCTCAGCTTCGCCACGTCAGCATTGTCGGGGCGCCGGCCAATCACAACACGCGACGTGGCGTGCACGAGGGGCTTGAGCCCAGCAACGGAGCGGCCGTGCGGCACGTGCCAGTAGAAGCGGCGCAGCAGGTCCAGCAGGCGCGGCAGCGGGCACACGGCGGGCAGCAGTGCAGGGCTGCGGTCCACCTGGCGCAGCAGGGACTCGAGGAGCTCGCGCTGCACGGTGTAGGGCGCGTAGATCCAGAGGGACAGCTCCAGGTACAGCTCACTCCATGCTGACCGAGTTAGCTGCTCCGCCATCAAGCCGTCTGGGGGGGGAGGAGGGGGGGAAAAGGGGAGAAGGAGAGGAAGTTGGCAATGCGCGGGTGGAGGGAAGTGGTTGAAGGGCAAAACAGGCGAGGGAATGACTGGCGCAGGATGAGCCCAGGATGTGTGTGAGTTCCCTTGAGCTAACGGAAACATCTTAACCTGGCTTGGCTGCTACTCGCGCGTTGACAGGTACCTGATTCTTTTCCTCCACTTACCCTGCTCGGCAGCAATGCTGTTAGTGAGGCTTTCAATGGAGAGGACGAGGCTGACGGTGAGGTGGCGGGGGTGCACGTGTTGCAGCAGGAAGCTGAGCACAGAGAAGCCCCCCACGCCCACCATGAACTGCCCCGCCGCTGCACTGCCCGCCAGCACCTCTGTCAGCAGACACACCACATCCACCGCCACGTGCGTCCCCCCCGCCTCCCACCGCCCCTCCTCCTCGCCCTCGCCCTCTGAGCCAGCACTGGTGTCGTCGTCGCTGTCGAGCTGGGTGAGGAGGGGGAAGAGCACGGCCACGCCCCCCACACACGACAGCACGTCCTGCAGCCGGTGCCGCTGGCACACCTGCACGCCAGGCAGCATCACCGCGTCGCACACGCGCCGCGCACCGCCACTCCCGCCCTGCTGCTCCCAGAAGGGCGTCGCATCCAGCACCACTCCCCCCGCCGTGGCGTGAGCCGTGAGGCTGACGGTGAGGCGCGGAGCCAGGCAGTCCTTTCCGTCGAAGAGAGCGCGCACGGGGGGGTCAGCGGAGCCGGGCAGGAGGGAGAGCTCGCACGGGAGGAAGGAGTGCGCGTGGCGCTGTCCCAAGCGGTGCAGAGCGGCGACCTGGTCGGGGGAGAGTGGGTCGTCGAGCACGTGCAGGGCGCCCAGCTGGCCGCAGAGAGGCGGCGCCATGGAGAGGGACGCCGGGTCGTCATCGTCGTCTAGTGGCGTGCGCGCGTGGGGAGCTGCCTGGGGGAGTGGCGCCCATGATGCTATGGTGCAGCGCGTTAGCGGGTCGTAGATGCGGGGGAAACTGGGAGGGGATTGACGGGGTAGGCGGGGGGAGAAGGAAAGGGAATACATGGGATGGACGAAAAGGCAGTCAGTATGTCATGGCCGTCCAAGTAGTAACGGAACAGTAGTTGGACCCAATGCTCCTGTGCATTCCCCTGCATACCCACCATCCCTACACGCGCACCTGTCCCTTGCACACAGGCCTGCCTGCAAGCGTGCACCCACACCCACCTGGCGCGGGAGGAGGCGACGAGGCGGCCATCAACGAAGAGGCGAACGGTGCTGGGGGCAGCGAAGGTGGGCGCGGCGTGGGTGATGGCCACGTGGTGCCAGCACTTGAGGCGCAGCTCGTGTGGTAACCCCACCACCGCCTCCCGCGCTGCTGCCCCGCCCACCTGGTGTCACATGCGTGCCACAAGTGCAGCACAGGAAAGGGAAGTAGGGGGGGTGGTGAGTGGGGATAAGCATTGGAGACAGTAGGAATTGATGTGACGGAGAAAGAAAGACTGATCAGGATTGAGGTTTGGTGTGATGATGGAAGGTGAAAGGTGAGCACAGCAGGCAGTGGGACGTGGCAACAGGCACAAGTGCAGGGGCGCACGGCACACGAGAGAGGAGAGGAGGGGAGAGGAGAGGCGTGTACATGCAGCAGGACGTCATCGGGGGTGAGGAAGGCGCTGCACCCCACGCCCAGGTCCGTGAGGAAGCTGAACAGCGCCATGGCGCCCTCCCTGCTCGCCTCCCCGCCCCCCCGCGCCCCCCCCTCCGCGTCCTCCAGACGCCCCTCAGCGTCGAACGCCCAGGGGTTGGCGGGGGGCGAGCCGGGGAAGGCGGAGGCGGGCGGCATGGGGAAGGCCTCTATGCGCAGCCAACACACCACCGTGTAGCCCCTTGGGCCGGGGAAACGCAGGTCCGAGGGCAGCTTGAAACCCTGGTGGAAGGGGGAAGGGGGGGGGAGGAAAGGGAGTTTGGCATGGTGAGAGACGTAGAGTGTGTGAAGGGCGGGCAGTGAAGGAGTTGACGACCCATGGTGCATCACGCAGTGGAGGGCACGGGATGAGCCAGAACGAGGATAGCAAGGAGCGCTCACGGAGTCGACGCCATTGAGTTCAAAGAAGCCAGAGGGCCCCTCGTCCTTGATGGCGCCCAGCAGCGTGCGCAGCAGCAGCGATGCATGCCGCGCTCGGCTGCCCGCCCCCGCCTGGCGCAGCAGGTGGAACACAGCCGTGATCTCCTTGCCACTCATGCTGTGCCGCCCCATCGTCTCCACCAGCAGCGCCACCGCCGCCACCACCCCCTCCCTGCCCCCTCCCTCCCCTCTCCCCGCCCCTGTCGCCTCCTGCTGCTCCCCGCCGTCACCCCACGCGCCAATGGCAGTGGCAGTGTGAGCGGCGGCGGTTGATCGGGGCGGGGCGAGGGGGGGGGGAGTCGAGGGTGGAGAGGCAGTGCAGGAGGTGCCACATGAGGGACGCGCGCGTGCACTCCGCACACGACGCTGTGGAGTCTGCTAGCATCGCCTGCAGCTGCTGCAGCCCCCCCACCGCCTGCCTCTCTGGCGCCTGCATGCACCGTTGGTAAGGGGGCATAGGAGGGGTGTGAGAGATGAGAGATGGAATGGCGGAGAGGCAGGGCAAGGGAGCACAATTGTTTGACCAAAATGTGTCACGCAGCAGGAGGTGCAGAGGGAGAAAGAAGAACGTGTGTGCAGTTGGGACGCACGCAGGGTACGGCGAGCACGAGGCCACAGGCACACAAGTATGCGGGAGGGAAAAAGAGCATACCGTGCGCAGCAGTGAGAGCCAGAGGATGAGCGCGTCTCCGTCCTGCAGGCAGGCACACAGGCATGGGCGGTCGAGGAAGATGTTGGACAGGTGCTAAGGAGAGGGGGCAAGCTCAAGGGAGGCGCGTTGCGGTGGAAACATGGGAGGCGGTATGAGCGGCATGAGGGCACCTGGATGGTGGCTCGTGTGTTGAGGGCGGAGGCAGTGTAGGCACCGTCAGTGGCGAGGCACAGCACGGCATCCAGCACCTCCTGCCCCGCCCTGCCCCCTGTGAGCGCCTCTATCCTCCTCTGCAGCCCCGTGGACCCCGCCCCTGCCACCCGCACCATGGCTGCCTGCCAGTCATGCACACCGTGGCACACACGCACGAGATGCTATTGGGTGCCGTGCACGCAGCCACCAGCAGCAATTGCTAATGGGAGAGCAGCGAGAGCACAGCAGGTACCGTGATTATAACGAGGGGGGCCGGGGGGGCAGGAGAGGCAGACCTTGGCGGCCTGGTTGGCGGCGAGCAGGCAGGTGAGGCAGCGCAGGGCGGCGAGCGTGATGATGAGCGCGTGGGCGGGCGAGTAGCGCGCATCCAGCACTGCCAGCACGTGCTGCATCGCCCCCGCCTCCACACACCGCTGCTGTAATGCCTGGCAGGGTGGGCCGTGCAGGGTGGGCCGTGCAGGGTGGGCCGTGCAGGGAAACATAAGAGAATGAGGAGGGTTAGTTCACACTCTAGCACAAATGGACACATGCAGGCCTGTCCGTTCACGGGCACGGCAGTGTGCAGACTGACAGCGTTGGGCGGGTCGGAAACGATGTAGGTGGTGCAGGACAGCAGGTCGTCCACCAGCATCACTGCCCTCGCGCTCACCCTCCCCCCCCGCCCCTCCACCGCTCCCCCCTCGCCTCCTCCCCGCCCTGCCACCGCTGCTGCACCGCCAGCCACCTCCCCTGCTGCCACTGCGCCCTCCTCTGCACCGCCCCTCCTCCCCGTCTCCTCCCCTTGCTCTTCCCCCTCTCCCTGCCCATCCACAGCTGCACCTTCTCCTTTCGTATCCACCACATCTTCACCATCCCCTCCAGTCTCCCCCTTCTCCCCCTCCTCCTCCTCATCCTCCCCTCCAGCCCCACCTTGCTGCCTCACTCCAACCGCGTCTCTGCTCCCCCCTTCCTCCCCACCCTCGCCTGTCACCGCCACTGCACTGCCAGTAGCAGTGAAAGAGGCAGCATGGGAGATGAGGTCGAAGAAGCACTCCAGGAGAGGCTGTCCCGCGGAGGGGTCGAGCAGGGGCGCATGCATGAGCAGGATGAGCACTCTCAGGGCGAACTCCCTGTTGGCCGAGTCCCACAGCAGCCGCAGCAGCGGCACGAACACAGCGGGGTCACATGCTGCGTCTACCAGTGCGGCATCAGACTCCCCCAGCGCGCCCTCCAGTAGGGCGAACACTGCCCCCCGCACGCCCTGCCACTCCCCCGCTGCCCCGCGCGGGAGAGGGGGGTGGGAAATCTGCATGCGGATCAACGAGAGGCGGCGCGACGACAGCATGCGTGGCGACACGACGCCACCAACGGTCGGCGCACGCGCGCTCACGACAGATGGCGGGGAGGACGCGTGAGCGAGGTTTGGGGTGCAGCGAGGAACATTGGCGGTTGTAACTGGTTTGGTCAGTTTTGCGAAATTGATCAGTTTAGAGGTGGGGTTGAGGTTCAGTGTCGGGTTTGGTATTTTGCTCGCTGCAGCGACCTTCATCAAACATCTCCTGCAAGTCGTGCTTCGCATTTCGCATCTCACACCCACCGCACCAACTACCTTCTGCTTGTCACGCCACTGCTCTAGTCCGCTCTGCACGACCACGCACAGCGCGAAGCCCGCACCTCTCGTCCCTCCGGGCCGACCCCATGGCCTCTCTTCGCGCGCCCACCGCGCTCACGCACTCCCTCCCGCGCTGCTCCCCGCTCGCCACGTGGCACTCCGCCGCAACAAGCGTCTCATCAATGGCGCAGCCCGTTCGTGTGAGTGCCGCCTGCCCGGTGCGTCTTCTGCCCGGCGCACTCCGCGCGCCCATGCCGCACGTGGTGCATCACTCTCACCCGTCGCTCCCCGCGCGCCCATGCCGCACGTGGTGCATCACTCTCACCCGTCGCTCCCCGCGCGCATTCACTCGTTCCCCGCGCCTCAGCGCCTTATGTTCGTCGCTTGTACTTCGCGCGCCCATGAGTTCTGTTGCCGCTCCTCCTTCCGCTTCCCACCCTTGCGCTCCTCTATGCCTTCCCCTGCCGTCGCACCCGCGCTGACCGCTTCCGTTTGCGCCGCTCTGCGGTGGCGCCACTGGCCTCTCTCGTCCCCTTCCTCTAACAACTCCCCTCCTCCTCCGTCCCCCTCCAATTCCTTTTCCCCCTTTCCCCCTCTCCCTCGCTTCCCAGCGCCTGCCAGTCCTGCGCGCGTCAGCCTCCCCCGATCCGTCCCCCGCGCCAGTGGAACCAGAAGCGGCCTACTCCCCAATCCCCGTCCCCCCGCCCGGGTGGGCGGAGCAGCAGCAGCGGGAGGCGGAGTCGACGGCGGAGGAGCGGGACGGAGTGACCATCAGGCGGAGGCCGCCGGGCGGGGCGGCGGCGCACATGGTGGGGCCGTTCCAGTTCCGCGTGGGGGGCAAGGTGGAGGAGAACGTTCCGCGAAACATCCTGGAGGAGATCGTGTGGCACAAGGACGGCGAGGTGGCGGCGTTCAAGGAGCGCACTCCGCTCTCCGCGCTCGCGCGCGCGCTCGAGGGCGCGCCGCCCGCGCGGGACTTCGTGGGCGCGCTGAGGGCGCGCGAGGCGGAGACGGGCGTGCCGGCGCTGATCGCGGAGGTGAAAAAGGCGTCGCCCAGCCGCGGCGTCATCCAACCCGACTTCGACCCTGTATGCCCCCGCCCCGCCTCGCTCTCGGCCCCCCTCACTCCACCCCCCCTCCTTCCGCGCGCTGCTACCCATTGGCTGGATCTGGCGCTTTCTCTCTTCGCCTGAGCTGCTGCTCGCATTGCGCTCGCCCCACCCTGCACGGTGCTTGCTCGCTGCCTTACCCACTGCAACCACCCACCCTGTGCTTTCCTCCCCCTCCGCCTGCGACCAACTCCTCCCCCTTTGCCTGCCTCCCTCTCCCCTCCCCCCGCCCCCACCACCCTCCCAGGTGCGCATAGCGAAGGCGTACGAGCAGGGCGGTGCGGCGTGCCTGTCAGTGCTCACCGACTCCAAGTTCTTCCAGGTGCCTCTCGCACTCACACTCGCACTCGCACTCACTCGCACCAGCAGGCGATTCCCCCACCTGCACCCCATGTGCATGCCACTCACTGCCTGCTCGCCTTATCAACCTGGCCTGCCGCGCAACAGCATTCACATGGAAAGGATCATGCAGGTCATACCTCCCTCCCACCACCCAACCGTCCGCCACCCAACCGCCCACCACCACCACCTTCCCCATCACTCTCCTCCTCACGCCTCCCCTGGCCCTCCCCTGCTCCCCTCCACCCCCTTACTCCCCCCCTCAGGGCAGCTTTGAGAACCTGGCGCTGATCCGAGCGGCGGGCGTGGAGTGCCCACTCCTGTGCAAGGAGTTCGTGGTGGACGCGTGGCAGGTGTACTGCGCGCGCACCAAGGGCGCGGATGCCGTGCTGCTGATCGCCGCTGTGCTGCCCGACCAGGACCTGCGCTACCTCATCAAGATCACCCGCTCGCTTGGCATGGCCGCCCTCATCGAGGTGCCCCCCTCCCTGCCGCCCTGCCCTGCCACCTTGCTCCCTATCTCTGTTTGCCCTTGCCCCGCTGCCCCATTTCCCCACTGTCCCTCCCCTGCCCCATTGTCCCACCGTCCCCCTTGCCTCCTGCCCCTCTGCCATGCCCCCCCTTTTCCAGGTGCACACGGAGAGGGAGATGGACCGCGTGTTGGCGCTGGAGGGCGTGACGCTCATCGGCATCAACAACCGCGACCTCGGTCAGCCTTCCCCCCTCACAATGCCCTCCCCCTCGCGGGGACCACCACCACTTGCCTGCCCGCTGCCATGCTGCTCTGCCATGGTCCACAGAACATGCCGCTGCCTCCTTGGCCCCCCCTTGCACCCGCATCTCCCCAAGCTCCGTCCTTGTACCACATGCCACCCACCTTCTCCGCCCTTTCTCCCTCCTTCCCGCCCTCCCCCCGACCCCCTGCCCCAGGCACGTTCAAGGTGGACATAGGCAACACGCAGCAGCTGCTGGCGGGGGAGAGGGGCGCTGCCATCCGGGAGAGAGGAATCATGGTGAGGGAGAGAGGAATCATGGTGAGGGAGAGAGGAATCATGGTGAGGGGGCGGGTATGCATGATTGTGAGGAGGGGGTGAGGGGTGATGGTGATGCGGGGATGGCAGAGAAGATGTTCAGCCGGGATGTGCAAGTGTATACTGGCATTTGTCTCTCACATGCGCACCATGCATCAATCAGCCTCTACTGTGCCACCTCTGCCATCCATGCCCCCATGACACCATGCACGCCATGCCTCCATGCCCCCATGCATGTATTGCTTCTCCCCATGCCCCCATGCCCCCCATGCTGTGCTGTGCTGTGAGTGAGTCAGGTGGTGGGCGAGTCAGGCCTCTTCACTCCCGATGATGTTGCCTTCGTGCAAAAAGCCGGCTGCAATGCTGTGAGTGCAATGCCTGCTTGCCCAACCTGCTTGCCCAACCTGCTTGCCCAACCTGCTTGCCCAGCCTCGCCATGCCCCACTAACCCACCGTTCCTCATGTTTATCTGTTACGAGCCGCACCAACCCCCTCCTCTCCACCCCTTCCCCCCCACGGCCATGTGGGCCGCACGCCTTCTTGCTCTTACCTCCATCTCCTGCACCTATCCTCCACACCTGCACCCTCTCCCTCTCCCTCTCTTCCCCCTCAGGTGCTGGTGGGCGAGTCTCTGGTGCGCACCAGCGACCCCACGGCCGCCATTGCTGCTCTCTTCGGCCGCCCCATCACCACCACACCAGGCCAGCCTGACCCCGCCCAGGCACATGCGCCAGCATGAGCGCAGCGCCCAAGCATTGGAGAAAGGACCAAGGAGATTCGTGACATGTGTGCAGGGATGGATGCGAGGGAGAGCGAGAGGCAAGTGCAGGCATATGTGGAGCAGGTTCCTTGACAAGAGCGGCATGTGTCATTGCGTACAGCTCACTCTTGATGTGTTCTATGCAGTCTGTTGGACGGTTTCGTGTGGCCGACGCCAAGCATTCGATTATTTAGCTAAGCGGCAGACTTTACTCATGTAACAGGTTCAGCTATATGCTCATAATGCACATCACAGTGGCCATTTAGCGTGGAAATCGAAGCAAGGGTGCTGTTGGAAAAGAGAGCAGCGAAGTAAGCAAAGGAGCTAGCATGCGCCACCTGCAGCACAGCAGAGGCACGTGACAACAACCACCAATCCGCCAGCCCATGCAGCCCCCCCTGCCCCGCGTGCCCATCAGCACCCGCCTTGGATGTGTGGCGCACAGCTGCTGCGGACCAGTACACGTGTACCCCCCCCATGCGCTGCAGGCGCTCCACAAACACGGGCCGCAGCTCCTCATTGTCCGTCGCCACAAACACCGACACCCTCCTCCTCCCTCCTTCACCTCCTGCCAAGCCCAGTGATTGCTCGTCTGCATGGACACCACCGCTGCTGCTGCTGGTGCTGGTGCTGGTGGTGGTGTTGGCAGCGAGGAGGGCGACGGTGGAGAGCACGCAGCGCCACAGGCAGTCCTGCAGGAAGGGCGACGCGGAGGGCTTGGCGCCTGCATCGGTGCACCCCTGCCACTGTGTGTCGGTGCTGCCGGGCTTGACAGCCTTCTCCACGGCCAGAGTGCGAGTGCGCACATGCACCGCCACGTCAAACCACACCGCCCCCTCCCCCGCCACCTCCCCTTGCTCCGCCGCACCTCCACCCCTCTCCCTTCCCTCACTTGCAACCTCGCCCCGCACGCCCAGGAGATGCCGCTTGGTGGTCTGCCCAGGGGTCGCCCCACCTGTTTCCATCCTCCCCTTCTGCGTCTGCCGTTCCGCCGTGTGCTCTGCACCTGCCCTCTCACCACCCTTTCTCTCTACCCCTCCAAACTTCCCCCTTTCTCCCGCACCTGCATGGCCCGCCTCCTCTCCCCCACTGCCGGCTGGGCCGTGCAGCACAGAGCGGGCGGCGAGCAGCAGGGCGGGGGAGGGGCCGGCGCCGAGGAGGGAGAAGAGGGCTTTGGAGCGCACGCAGTGGAGGGAGGCACAGTGGAAGGCGGCGAGGACACAGGCGCGCAGCGGGGGCGAGCGCTCCCAAAAGGCATCAAAGAAGGTGCCGGCCCGCGTGGCCAGTAGGGGGTAGTCCGATGGCACTGTCTCCGCCACCGCTGCAGTGGGGGATGGGAGAGGGTGGTGGTGGAGGGGCATGCAGCACAGAGCAGAGGAGCACTCTAGCGTGGCAGTGCAGCATGGAAGGGCAGGGTGCACAGAGTCTAAACTGAAACATGCGAAGAATCGATTTCCTTGTGTGGCAAGTGTGATTACCATGGGGCGTGTCGGAGATCTCAAGGAAGAACATGGGGTCCAGCGCCCTCACTGCCGCCATCACCTCCTCCGCCTCCCTCTCCCTCTCCCTCTCGCACTCACTCCCCGCCCTGCTGCCCTGCCCTGCTGTGGCAGCGAGCGAGAGCGGGCCTTGCAGGGCGGGGAAGGCGCAGTGGAAGGCGAGGCAGAGGCTGTCGAGCACGCGGCTGTGCTGCGCGGCGTGGGCGCGCACGAGTGTGCGGCCGGCCAGCACGGCGTATGGCACGGCGGACACCCACCCTCGCAGCGTGTTGCCCACACCGTGCCTCGGCAACACGAGCAGCCACCGCGCGTCCGGCAGTGTGAGGTCCGCCACTGCCAGGCGTGCCGTGGGGGCGACACGCGCGCTGTTGTGGTTGGGGACAGGGGTGCAGTGAGAGATGGGGATGGGAGAGAGATGGGGATGGGAGAGCGATGGGGATGGGAGACAGATGGAATTGGAGGGGGAAAGTGAAGGGAGGGCGAGAGGGAGCAGTAAGGAGCTTCATGCAAGCACAGGAAGGCGTGTGTGTGAGGGGGGGAGAGCACGCACACGTTGAGTGGCTGGATGTCAGGGGGCAGCAGCGACGAGCACTGGTGGACGCCCTGTGAGCTCACAGCCGCGCCTCTCTGGAACGCCGTCCACCACGCCTCCCGCTGCACTGCCTGCACGCCGTACTGCTGCCCGCCTCCGCCACCGCTGCTGCCCGCTGCCCCCGTGCTCGCCCCCTCGCCGCCCTGCTCGCCCCTTGAAACCTCCGCCCGCTGCTCACTCCCGCCCCCACCGCCCACGCCTCGGCGGCTCTGCTCCCCCACAGCCCGCGCTCTCAGCCTCGCCCCTCTGCTGCCCCACTCCTGCCCCTGCAGCGCCTCCCTCCTCCGCGCTTCACTCAGCCCCCCGCCCAGCTCACCTTCCCCCGCACCCTTCCAGTTGCGCCAACCCCAGCTCCCATTCCCCGCGCTCCCCGCATCCCCCTGTGCCGCCAGCCCTTGGCCCATGTTCCCCCCTCCTCCCCACCCACCCGCTAAGCGGCCGTTTCTGTCGTCGGATAGTCGCAGGTCCCCGTCGCTGAGCCAGACGGTGTGTCGCATGGCGTCGTCGCCAGCTCGTCGCAGCACGGGGAGACTCCATGGATAGAAGACCGCCCGCCGCCATCGCCCGCCACCCGCCAACGGAGCCAGAGCGAGCGCGATCCCCGTCAAGGACAGCACCGCTACCAAGACTCGCTGCCATCGTGCGCGTGGGGCACGCGGTCGAATGGGCGCAAGCGGGCGCGAGGCGGAAAGCGCAGGGCGCGCGAGGTGCGGCGGTCGGAGCGGCTCCCTGCCCCGGCAGTAGCTGCGATCGTCGCTGTCGCGGCCTCGCGGCGTGGCGCGTGGCGCAGCGACGAGCGATCTGGAAGGAGGGCGGCGAGTGGCGTCGCGATGGTCAGGCGCGGCGGCGTTGTTGGATGGGGGAGAGGCGGGCGCGCGGAGCATGGCTCACGGAAAGCAGCGAAGCGCGCGTACCTGTCGCCCGATGGGAAGCAGGCGACAGCGAAGGCGAATTCCTGAAACTTTGATGTCGCCTAAATTACTGCATAATCTATCCCCGATATTTGACTTCCCTGCCAGTGTTTCTTCCAAAACCAGCACATGTCCCGATGAGAATCTGTTTTTTTCGAAGCACAACATCTGTGTGAGCCCTTTGGCTGTGGTCCGAGCCGAACCAAGCTCGCCACCGAGCCTTGCAGTTCGGTTGGTAAGGCGAAAGGGGCGTGCTTTCCACCATACCTGGGGAGCGGAGTGTCCCCGTGTGGCCCTTTCGCACCTCACCTTGGCGTCGTTCTGTAGGCATCACGGAGAGAAGGGGAGGGATCATAGGAAGCTGCCTGCCTCTGCAATTTTAGGTTCGAAATGGCGGTCAGCCCGGAAAATGCTGACGTGGCAGTCATTTCCCTTCTGAACCTAATCGAAGGGAAATGCCTGCAGAACAGTCATTTTCCTTCAGGGAAATGCCCCTGTAGGAAGGTTCCTGATTCCCCTCCCCACCTTCCTCCTCTGGCAAATTTGTTTGCCTTCGCCCCGCCATCGGCCTACCCTTCACGGGGAAGTGCGACGGTGACGGGAGGGAGGAGCTGGGCGTGGGAACACCAGCCTCCAACCCAAACAAAACACCAATTATCACACGGTCTAACCCAACCAGGGTAGCACCTCCCAAATCGAAAAAAACAAAAACAATTTTGATCGCTCGAAGTTGGATTATTGGCTGGTGTTTGTTTTGGGGCTCGTTTTTTGAGTACATTACCCACGCGTAACAAAGTACCCTGGTACACTAATCACTGGTCACGAATTATCCCTCTGATGGGCGCGCGAAATTCAGCGCGCAGTTCGTCATTTCCCTTAGGAAACTACCCCCCTAGATGCGAAATTTCCCATCTTGCGTGTTTGCCCAGGGTGGGAAAAGCGACCTCGGAACCCACCTCGGAACCCTCCTCATTTCCCTTCTCTCTCCCTCCTCCCCCAAATGTCAGGTGCCTACAGAACGACGCCCTTATCTCGCTGCCTTTGATTGCTCAACTCTTTCCCCTTCTCCCCTTTCGCCTTGATTTCCCGCGAGAGGCGCCATGGGTCGCCGTAAGTGTCGCGCGCGCATTGCGCCCGTTTGCGCGTGTAGAAATTCCGCCGGCGGACGGCTGCTGACCCAACCCTTGCGTTTGTCGTTTGGTGCTCTTCTCCTTGCGCCCGCCGCCAGGCCCGCGCGATGCTGCCGCCAGGCCCCGCGCGATGCTACTGCCAGATTAAGAACAAGCCGTACCCCTAGTCGCGATACTGCCGCGGTGTTCCCGGTACGTCGTCAGTTCCCGCACTCTCGCAACGCCCCGCCTTTTAAGGATTTTTCTTGCGCGTGAGGTGGCGGGGTGGCGGGCCGGGGCGCAGATGCAAAGATCCGCATTTACGATGTGGGCGTGAAGAAGCGGGGCGTCGACGAGTTCTTCTTCTGCATCCACCTCGTCAGGTGCGACCGCCTCGTCAGGTGCGACCGCCCGTCAGGTGCGACCGCCCGTCAGGTGCGACCGCCCGTCAGGTGCGACCGCCTCGTCAGCAAACTCCGCCCTGCTTTCTCTCCCGTCCCCCTCCACCCCTCCATCACTTCTCCGCATTCCCCTCTAACTAGCTTGCTTTCTGTTCATTCGCTCTCCCTCCGCTCCCCGCCGCCCCCTGTACGCTCCCTTTTCTCCCCTCTTCGCCCTCCGGTCCTCCCGCCGTCCCGCGGTGCAGCTGGGAGAAGGAGAAGGTGTCAAGCGAGGCATTGGAGGCGGCGCGGATAGCGTGCAACAAGTACATGAGCAAGTACGGGGGCAAGGACGCCATCCGCGTGCACGCCTTCCACGTCCTCCGCATCAACAAAATGCTCTCCTGCGCCGGCGCCGATAGGTACACTCTCCTGCCCCTCCTCTGATAGGCGCGCTCTCCTGCGCCCGCGCTGATAGGCGCACGGGGAGCGATGGTGTGCCATCTTGCGCTTCACGTTGGTGTCCTGCGCCCACTCATTGCGGTAAGGCCACTCCCTGGCGTGCATGGTAGCTCCTAGGGATTTCCGTGTTTTGGGTGGTACGCTCATCGTATGTGCGGTGTTGCACTGCGAGGGGCGTTCGGGTCGGGAAGTCACAGAGCGTGTGTGCGCGCGTGGCCATCGGGCAGGTGCTGCTGTCGGTGCGCTGCAAGGAGGCCAACGCCGCTGTCGCCGTCGAGGCTCTGCGCCGCGCCAAGTTCAAGTTTCCCGGGCGGCAGAAGGTCATTGCCAGCCACAAGTGGTGAGTGCATGGGCGCGCGGCAGAGTCGAGGTGCGCACGAGGAAGCAGTGTGAGGGGAAGGCGAGCAAAATCTTGGTGTACTGGGGAGGCCGATGAAGGGCCAATTGCTCCCTCGCATCCCACCACCTTACCCTGCCCTCTGTGCCAATCTGCTTCTGCACATCCCCCCTCCTTGCCCGTGGTGTGAGGCAGGGGCTCTTTACGAAGATTACACGCGCTGACTTTGTGAAGTGGAAGCAGGAGATCAGGCTGGTGCACGATGGAGTCAACGCCAAGGTGGGTCGACACCACACCTCACCACGCTCATGGAACGTCCACTCCACTGCACCCTTCCCTGTGCTGCTTCACTTCTCGTTCTCGTTCTCATGATCCATGCCTCTCGCAGCCTCACATTCTCTCCCTTCTCCTCACTGTTGCCTGTCCCATTCGCCCTCCTACCATGTTCCAGCTGCTGGGTAACCACAGCCCTCTTGCTAACAGGAAGCCAGGCCAGGCCTTTCTTACCCCCCCAGAGAAGCATGATGTTTAAAGCCAGAGTTGTAGAGTATTTTGTCATACTTTCACCTGCTATCATGTATTGTATGATCAGAACTGTTACCTTATACAGTGGCTACCAAAGCCAAGGTGGCCGCTGCCAGGCCATGTTGCTAGCCTTCCCCATGATAAGTATGCACGCACACAACCTATACTGCTCACCAATACTGTTGGGAAGGAGGACCTCCCCCCCAATCCTCAATGAAACGATCTTCCGGAGTCCATATCGACTATCTTTTCTGGGTCATCTAGAGCTCAGAATTATGGTACATGTTTCCTACCAGAGTATCGGACTATAGAATATAGGTACTACCACTCAAATTTTACTCAAGAAGCCAAATGGTTGTTTTGAGAGTTTATTTACACGAATGTCTCCTTTACTGATTTCTACAGAAATCAGCCTTTAGGGGAACCTTATGCTCCCAACGTTCTCATCTCTCCTCATCCTTGTCGCTTGGCTACCCTAATGTGAACGTCTTGCCAGTTTCTCCCCCAAAGCTCACCCAAGAGCTCTTCTAGCAACCCTGTCTGGGAGTATCATATCATCCCCATGCACAGCCTGTCATCCACCCTTCACCACATCCTTCTCCACTCAGCATCCATCCCCTCCCCTTCCCCCACCCTCCCACCGTGCTGCACCGTGAATCATCTTCTGCCAAACAAGCCGAACCTCTCTGACGAGGGCTGTGGCGCCGGCGCTGCCTGTGGCTGCGGGGCGGGCTGCTGCGGCATGGACCCCATTTTGAACTGCGACTCCTCAAAGAGGCTCCTCGCGTCCTCGTTGGCGGGCTCCAGGCGCAGCGCGGCCTTGCACGCCACGTGGCAGTCGTACCACTGCCCTAGCTCCTTGTGCGCCATGGCCTTGCGCAGCCACGCCTTGAAGTTGCTCGCGTCTATCCCCGCCGCCGCCCCCGCATCCACCGCCGCCTGTTGGGTGGGCCCCGCCACGCAGGGTGGGGGAGAGGGGGAATGCGGGAAGGTCAGAAGGAATGCAGGCAAGCCAATGAGGCAACGGAGTTGGGAGTATGGTAGAAAAGGGAGAATGGTGAAGTTGAGGGTGAGAGAAAGAGCTGATTCGATTAGTACGCACAGAAGGGCTTCACAAATGGCGTTGCGAGCCCCCCACAAGGGTGCAGTGTGGTCATTTGGATGCGAGCAGGAGGCATGGGAGGGGGAGGGTAAGAGGGGCGAGGCAGGGCGCGCCATTAACAACGGGCTACGCTCGTGCCAAGTGCGTGTCAGACTGTCTAGACACAGCGCAATCGTGCTTCGTGGGCGGGTGGGAGAGATAATGGGGGACGGAAATGCATGGCGATCTGCCGGGGAGCGTGAGGACAGGGAGTAAGCGAGAGTGGGATGAGAAGAGGGAAGAGGGTATTGCAGAAGAACAAAGGAAGCGGGCCGTGTCCGCTGGGATGCGCGGCACAGGAGCCGTGACTAGTTGAATGTAAGGTCGCCCACGGTCTGTGACCTCTGTGTTCAGCTTTAAGATCGCCTTCCAGGTTAGAACGAACACATGCGTTCAATCTCCTTTTCCGCCCATTCAGTAATAGAAGCGCACCCAGTCTTTCCAGCATCACAGTTCTTTATATTCCGTCTCGCGCGGTTCGCAGTACGATGACAATAGCTCACCTTGTCGTATTTCTCAAGCTTCAAGTAGGCAGCAGCGCGGTTGCTGTACAAGATGGCGGCGAGCTGCGCGGTGCGCGGGTCAGGCTTGGCGTCGCGCACGGCGCTGGCGACGGCGGAGGGGCTGTCGAGATTGGTGCTGGCGCGGCGCGCGGACGGCACGATGAGCCCCGCCATCTGCTTGATGGCGTAGCTGTAGCCTGCCGGCCACGCGGACACGCGGGCACACGGGCAGAAGGGCGGGAGGGCAGGAGGGCAGGCGGGCAGGAGGCGGGCGGGCGGGTGAGTGGAAAAAATAACGCGACGTGAGGGCACGGCCAGGTACGAGGCGGTTTGGGGGTTTAGAAACCTAGGTCGGGCAAAAGAAGACGGAGAGCAGGTGAGGAAGGGAATGGTGAAGGGATTAGGGATTCTGGCCAACTCCAACACCTTGCACCCACCCACCGCTCTCCGCGGACCACAAACCAGCGGAAATGACTTTCCGCCTGGCCGTAAACGCTTCGGGAATCGGGTTTGACGGCTGTCGTCCGCACGCAGGGAGCAGCTGGCAGGTGGCAGGTGTGTGTGTGGTTTGCGCGGCACTCACTGATGATGGCCTGGCGCGGCACTCACCGATGATGGCCTGCCGCGGCACTCACCGATGATGGCCTGGCGCGGCACTCACCGATGATGGCCTGGCCGAACTTGCCCTCGACGAAGAGGTTGTTGGCCGACGCCTTGAGCGCCTCGATCTCGTCCAGCCCCACCACGTGCGGCCCCTGCGCCGAATACATCTTGGCGTTCGCCGCCGCTGCCGCTGCCGACGACGACCGGTTGAGCGCGGGGGGCATGTCGAGCGAGGAAGTTCTATGAAGGAGATGCGGCGCTGCTGCTTGTTGTCTGCAAACGCGGAATGCTGTGAATTGGCAGGAATGCGGCTGGTACCACCGTCAGAAATTTCGGTAGTGCTGGTGGGTAGAGGAGAGGGGCGGAGTCGCCGTTGAAATGGGAAGAATATTTGCTTGCTGTCTACAAGACTTTAAGCTTGAACGTGAGAGGAAAATCGATGCTGAATAATCATGAAACGGCTCAATAGGGAGCAGAAGCAAGACACGGGGATCCGAGCGCGCCAGTAACGTATTTTGCAGCAATCTTCCTTGAGATGGGATGGTAGGGGTGATATGAAGCAGACGCCCATTTGTGAACCACCACGGGAGCGGGCGCAGCACGAGGCACCCAGAGGGGAGGATGTGGTTGTGGCACGGTGATGGTGGCAGGGCGGGGAATGTCGTTCCCCTACGAAAGCCATCTCTTCTTTCTTGCGACGCGCGGTTGCAGGTGTCGCTGGTCTGGTTGGTTTCGTGTGCTTTCGGACCGCCCTAAGCATCCTCGTTCGTGACAGTCATTTCGCAAAAATTGTCAGGGGTGGTAGCGACTATAAGGAGAGGGCGGTGCGGCGTGGACTAGCTGCGGTAAAAGTAAAAAATGATTGCGATTTGAACTATAAAGAACTATATTCCATAACTGTAATGAATGTAGAAATTCATTACTGTAACCTGCCCTTAGCGGGGATAGCCCAAGCACTTCACGTCCGTGTGGTTTGCTGCGATCAGAAGTTGATCGAACCTAGGATCACCTCGGGAAGGTTTCGCACAGAGTGTGTGGTAATGGTGGGCCCATGACCTCAAATTAGAGATGATTAACACATGCAGTTACATGCGTACAGAGGGAATATCAAACGTCATAGCTAGCCATTTACTCTAAGGGGTACATTCCCTTATTCAAGTTTAATCCCAACCGTGCGACGCCTACAATTTCGAAACCGTTCCCGCCAATTCCCTCGCTCCTGCAGCTGTCCGATGTTGTCTGATCTGACGATCCAGATGCTCTCCAATTGTACGCTTCGTTTCAACCTTTCGCCTTCATACTCCTTTCTGCGTTCTTCGTTCTTTCTAAAGACAGAGATGCACATTTCAGCTTCTCATTTCACTATTCGTAACACCCCCCTTCGTTCCTCGACGTAGCAAGTCTTGACCCCCTTAACTACTCCGCTGAGTTTCGGAGCAGTGCTGGTACTGCTGACGTGGCGGTCGCTTCATGAGGAAGTATGCTGCCATGTCGCCCCTCTGGCACTAGGTCAGGTCCACCTTCCCCTTGTCCACTTCGTCCTTGACGAAGAAGTACCGCAGCGCGATGTGTTTGGTGCGGTTGACAAATCCATGTTTGTTTGCGATTTGGATCGCGCTACGGTTGTCGCAGTGCAGGCGAAATGTTGACGAAGCTGGGATTTTCGCCTCTTGCAGGAGCTCCTGCAGGTAAAGACATTCGGGAACTATTGCTGTCACGGCGATGAATTCAGCTTCGGCCGACGACAGGGCAACCAGCTCTTGTTTTTTAGAGTTCCATGCGATTAGCCTTGTTAACTTAAGGCGAAACAGGAACCGGTCCTGGACCGTCGATTGTCGGGGTCTGCTGCGTGATAGGCGTCCACGTAGCCGATGAGGTTGAAGGACGAGGTTGGCACTGTTGAGTAGCAAAGCCCAATCTTAGGCGTGGAGATGAAGAACTGCAGGGCGCGCTGTAGATCCAGAAGGTTCTCAGCCGTTGGTTTGCGGGAGTACTGAGCCAGTTGGCTCGCGATGTAGGAAAGATTAGGCCTGCAGGTGCAAGAGGCGAAGAGCAGGCATTCCAGCTGCTGTTGGTAAGTCTGAATTCCAGCAGGGATAGGGCTTTGTTGCCAATATAAGGGGTGGAGAGTGGTGCAAGCGCAATGTAGAAGCGTTTGCCAATTTCTTCTGCATACTTGGCAGCTGAGAGGTGGATGGCATTTGGCGTGTAGGAGATGTTGAGGCCGAGGAACTGCTTCACGTCATGGTTGCTGGTAATGTCGACGCGCGTTGCCATGTTTTTCTCAAACTGTTCGCCCAGCTCGTTGCTCGATCCGGTGTAGAGTAAGTCGTCGACGTAGACCGTGCGCAGAATTTAGTCCCTGCCGATATCGCGGCGGTACATCGCGGGGTCGTGGGGCAGCTGCTTGAAGCCTATCTCAAGTAGGATGCTATGCAGGTACTGCTGCCAGAGCCTTGGCGCCTGTTTGATCCCGTAGAGGGACTTTTGTAGCTGGCACACACGTGGCTGCTCCACGTAGTTTTCTGCATCCACTAACGCATAGAGAAATGCATCGATTTGGCAAAGCGGCAAGTGCCTCGCGGCGGCGATGGCGAGCAGAATTTTGACGGAGGTGTGAAGGCAAACCGGCGCGAATGTGTGGTCGAAATCGATGCCGTGCCTCTGATCGTAACCGCGTACGATCCATCGCGCTTTGAAGCGCTCGATTGATCCGTCCGCTGCGGTCTTCACTCGGAAGACCCATTTGCCCAGAGAGGATGCTTCCTTCTTTGATTGCGACGCTATCGACGAGTGCCCAAGTGTCGCGGGAATCGAGCGCCTTGATTTCTGCATCCATCGCCTCGCGCCATTCCTTGTTGTGTGGTCCCGTGAGTGCTTGGCGCGGATTCTTGGGCTCGATGACGCGTGGCACCGTTGAAGTGGATGTGTGAAGCCCTAGAAGCTGCAGGCCTGAGACGGTGCTGTCGTGGCGGTGCTGGGGGATGATCTCCTGCACGCATCGTCGTCACTCTCTGGTTCAGGTAGTGGTGGCGGTGCTACGCCTCTGCTGCCTCCGCCTACTCCACCGACTCCTCCTCCCGAGGGATCTTCATCGCCATCGTAGCTGCTGTGGCGATCTCCTCCTCCGAACTCGCCTCTGGTGACTTGCTCCAGGATGGCTGCAGCAGCTTCGTCCTCGGGCGTTGTTTATATTTCATTCCACACATTTTGCAAGATGTGAGCGTTTCGACTCCGCCTGGTACGCTCCCCACGTATGCGCGTACCGACCCAACAGATCAATGCATCACTTCGGCTGGACATACGCATTTGACGCCCTTTCTTTTAGGTTAGTTCATTAGAGTAGACTAACCTCTACTTCCTCGCCAACGCGTTTCTCCTTCATTCTACACATTTTGCAAGATGTGAGCGTTTCGACTCCGCCTGGTACGTTTCCCACGTATTACCAAGCCAGCAAGAGCGTGGGAGGGTGACGAGCATGATCGGTCATTGGCACTGGCGAAGAGAAAGGCCCCGCCTCACTTGGGCGCAGCCGATCTCGCCGTCGACGGGAAGTTCTCGACGGATTGGTCGAAGAAGTTGGCTTCTGCAGTTCGACAAATGTTGCGGTCGAGCAGGCTCTGCTCGACAGAATCTGGTCAACGAGCTCTGCGCGGCAAGCTCCCGTCGAAGAGCGCTGGTCGACGATCCTGGTCGAAGAACTCTGGTCGAAGAGTTTGGGTCGAGGAGCTCTGCTCGGCGAACGTTGTTCGACCGAGCGATGTCGAGCTGATCGACCGAAGTTGCAAAGTTGTGCGAATCTCTACGGAGGCGTGCAAACTTTCGCCCAGGAGGCTTTGGCGAAGTTCTACCTGCAGAATGGCAGCACGTGGTCGACGGTGCGCACCTGGCAAAACCGACGAAACATTTTCTACCCGGCACCTGCGCAATGTGCCTGACGGTGAAACCGCCAACCTACCTACTTGGTAGGTGCGCACATCTGCGCAGATAGACAACCTGCGACTGCAGATAGTCATCTGCGACTACAGATAGTCACCTGCGACTGCAAAGCTGGCAGACCACCTACACTGCGACGCTGGCAGATCGTTCTGCTCGAGCGTTCGCACGCCGCGCTTCTGCTGCGCTGGGAGACTTTGCCCTGCAGAGTGCTTGGTAGGTTCCGCATGCCATTCTAGTAATATCATTATGCATGCCTCAATTGGACTATTAAATTTTTATTGCAAGTTGTTCATTCAAATCCTTAGGGAAACTCTTGCAAAACTTCTCTGTGAACACAGCAAGTAAGAACGTTAGTACAAACGCTCCGATCACTCGCACAACCCCATGCTCTACACCGTAGTCCACTTCCGTTGTGTAGTGACTCAACGAGATCATCATCGTCATCGTCATCGTAGCTGCTGTGGCGATCTCCTCCTCCGAACTCCCCTCTGGTGACTTGCTCCAGGATGGCTGCAGCAGCTTCGTCCTCGAGCATTGTTTATATTTCATTCCACACATTTTGCAAGATGTGAGTGTTTCGTCGCCGCCTGGTACGCTCCCCACATATGCCCGTACCAACCCAACAGATCAATGCATCACTTCGGCTGGACATACGCATTGGACGCCCTTTCTTTTAGGTTAGTTCATAAGAGTAGACTAACCTCTACTTCCTCGCCAACTCGTTTCTCCTTCATTCTACACATTTTGCAAGATGTGAGCGTTTTGAATCCGCCTGGTACGCTTCCCACGTATTACCAAGCCAGCAAGAGCGTGGGAGGGTGACGAGCATGATCGGTCATTGGCACTGGCGAATGAACAGTGCCTGCTGCATTTTTTGCACATGTGCGGATCCTTCCGCGTTTTGGGGATGAAAACGCTCGTTCCGAGCGTTTTTATTACGTTCGGTCAAGCGGCTGTGTGGGATTGGACGTATTACCAAGCCAGCAAAAGCGTGGGAGGGTGACAAGCATGATCGGTCATTGGCACTAGCAAATGAACCATGCCTGCTGCATTTTTTGCACATTTGAGGATCCTTCCGCGCTTTGGGAACGAACGCTTCCAGCCCCAAAACGCGAAAGGGTCCGCACATGTGCAGGAAGTGCAGCGGACGCTTTTCTTTCGCGAGCGCCAATAACCGATGATGCTCGCAACCCACCCAAGCCCTTGCTGGCTTGGCAATAGGCCCAGACAAGCGCAGCCACGTGACCCGGCGGAAGAAAAACGCTCGGATCGAGCGCTTCCAGCC